GGTACCACTGTAGTACCACAGGGGGTGCATTCATGGTTAGGGGGGCTTGCTTTTTTCTAATTAGAAGCCACACCTGTTCTGCTTGCCATTAGCTAAAGGAAGCCCCATCCCTCACGCCTTGCCCACCTCAGCAGGAGCCCCAGGAGCCCAAAGGATGATGACTTGCCTAGTGAGGTGAGGCGAGAATATGCTCCGGAGAATATTCTCCACAAACTATAAATTCTAATGGCTTCTTTTTTATATGTATGCATATAGTTTTATTTAACAAGCTGTGTTTTAGTCACCAAAACAGTTACTGTGTTAGAACTATCAGAAGCACAAGATAGCCAATTACTGAATTTACTTGTATCAAACCTTAACATGCCAATTGTATTTTTTGACTTGTCCTATAACATGTACATGTTCTAATGGAAGAATAAAATATGATTTAACTATTGAGTTTCCTCATACAAAACCTTAACATGACAATTACTGGTGCCATCACCTTATTATATCATTTTCAATGCATTAAAATGAATATTCTCCTATTTTAAATGAAAATTCACTAATATTCTCATTGATTGAGAATATTCTCAAGAATATTCTCCAAAAGATTATTCTTGAGAATTTAACATCACTAGACTTGACCAACAGCCCATTCCTCATGCACCGGCTTCCCTGGCCATGCACTGGCCAGCTGCCCGCCCCCCCCAAAAAAACCTCCTCCATTCCTTTCCTGTGTTCCCAGAAGCCTCTCAGACCTTGCCATCTCCAGTGGACTTAAGACTGGGAGCTCCAGGTTTTCCTCAGTGCTCAGTGTTGCTGGCACTAAATGTACACCCAGTGAGAAAGGAGGGGTGTTGGGATGGGGGGACACAAAAGGCAGCCCCTCCTGATTCTGGCTGCTCACCTTCCAGCTTGCCAAGAACAAGAGGAAACTGCTCGGCTCCAGGCTCTTGGGGGAGCCAAGCCAACTCTGAGCGTTGAAGACAAGCTCCAGAGGTGCCCTGTGCCCACCGGAGGGGACCCGCCTGGCTTTGCTGACTGGGCTCCCGCTGGCCTTTGTGCTTCAGGACGGCTTCCCTCAAGCAGAAAGTCTCCTTCCACCCCTGGCTTGGCTACCTGCTCTGGCAAGTGATGGTCGCGCAGTGGGCTCCCTCCTGGCAGCCCCAGAGCCCGGGCTCTTGCCAGGGCCTCGTCTGCTGGGCTCTGGAGCTGCTCCTTCCTGTCCTGGCCTGTACCAGCAGGGCCTGTTGCTACGTGCTGCAGCTGCTGCGGCTGGTTCCCAGCACCACCGGGTGCTCCCTTGCGAAACTGGCTTGGCAGCTTCAGACACACCCAGCTGCATGGAAACGGAGAGGGAGGGTGGGGTGGGGGGAGGCAGCCCTTGGCTGGGCCCAAGCGCAGCCAGAGAGAGGATTGCTGGAAGCCAAAGGATGGCCTCCCCTCACACCTGCCTCTAGGGGTGCGGCTGGTTGGCCTCAGCAGCTGGGGGAATCTCCTGACCCAGCAAGTCAAGCTTCTTCGGGAATACAGGCTGCCTTGGAAAGGCCAACTTGCCAGCAAACGCCACTGCCCCACCAAACACAGGCGGGCACCTGGTGGCCGGAAACCCCCCAGTCCCAGCACAGCACCAAAACGGCCCCCTCCCAGGTGAGGGTGGTCCTGCTTGGGGCTCAGGCTGGCCTTGAGCTCTTCATCTGAAGACAAGACATAAGGACATCAGGCCAGTAGCCCATCTAGGCCACCATCCTGTTCTCACAGTGGCCAGCCTTCTGCCCTTGGGCTAGGGGCATGGTAGGCATGGGGTGGGCAGCTGCCTCGCCATCCTTCCAGCAATACATGTGCCAGGGCTGCCCCCCCTGGGAGTGCGAAATTCAGCTCCCTGCTCTTCCTCCGAGGCAGGAGGCCAGGGAAGCATGTCTGCCTTGCTCTGAGCAGGGGGCTCATGGAGCAACACCCCCCCCCCCGCTGGGCCTTTCCCCCACAAACACAGCCCTGCATTCCTCTGGGTGCTACTTCCTGTGCAGCCACATGCTCTCATACCCCTCTCTTAGAAATTCCCCCCAAGGGGGGCAGAGCCCCACTTCCCACCAAGCAGGGGCGTGATGGGCAAAGGGGGAGTGGGATGCCACAGGACAGTTCCAGACCCTCTTACATGAGGGTCTTGGGGAAGCAGCTGGTGGCCAGACAGAGACCCCCTCCCCCCGTGGGACAAGCAGACCCCTCTCCGCCTTCCTCACACACGGAATGAGCTCACCCAGCACCTCTGAAGCCAATGGCCTAAGCGGGGGTTTGCTTGGGTGCCTGCATAGAGAGGGAAGAATTATCCCAAGGCCACGTTAACCACAGAGTTTCCAGGCAGCCATGACACATATAACTTCTCCATTACTTTAGAGGCCTCCGCCTACATTCTGTGGACACATTTGAGGCTTCACATTTCAAAGGCTGGTGCAGAATTTGGCACCTTAACCACCTCAGCTTTGGGTTTAACACAACAAGTTGCTAGCCCCCAAGGAAACGCGGGCTCTTACGACTTCCCTCTTGTTCTGGGGCTGAAGGGGCACAGTCTTGGTCACCCACCAGGCCACGCATGCCCAGGTGCCAACTCACACTGCTCCTCCCACCCAGTGACTGAGAGCAGGATAAGAGCAGCCTCCTGGAGGGTGGTGGGCAAGGAGTAGGGGGCCAGGGCAAGGTGGGAGCCCTTGGCAAGTTCCCTGTAACGGTCGGGTGTCCCTCCTTTCAGCTCCTGATGCAAGCAAGAACCTGGCCAGCAAATAAATAAAGACACAGAGGACCCTGAAGAGGAAGCAGCGCTCACAAAAGTGGATTGCCCAGCTTCTCACAAACAGCAGATGAGGCAGCCAACCTGCCTTTGCCTCGCTCACCCCACTCTTACAAGACAAGACAGTTCGGCTCCTCTGTGCCAATAAACAAATACAGCCACCTGGAGTGCTATAATGGGGGGGGGGGCACTCCCTCATGTGCAGCTGGAGGTGGGCTGCTAGCAGGACCAGAAGGCAGCCCTGTTCTCCCTGCCTGGGATTCCCAACAACTGGCCTCCTCCTCCTCCATCCTCTTGTAAAGCCATCCAAGTTGGCGGCCAAAGCTACACCTTGCAGGAACCCATTCAATACTGCCATGCAAAAAGTACCTCCTTTCGTACGTCCTGAAATCTTCCAACATTTGGCTGCACTGGACAACTCCAAGCTCCAGTTTTAAAGCAGATGAAGACCTCTCCCTATTCACTTCCTCCCAGTGCACATAATTTTATACCCCTTGTTCAAATCTATCACTACTCCCCCTTCGCTAGAAAGCCCCCAAATATTGCAACCTTTCCTCCTAGAGGACTTGCTCCACCCCCACTCTTTTCTTCTCTTTTCTTTTGGGAATAATTTTTATTAAGTTTTCAATTTTACATTTCAAAATAAACATTTTACAAACTTCAAAATATCCAAAGACTTCTCTTCTTCTCTTTGCATGGTTCATTTTACATATCATATGTTCCTGCATATTTTACTACAACCATTGAAATCCGTTTTCCACTTTTACATCAATCAAATATTATATACACTGTTGAATTTCTCTTAATGTTGTCTGCGTTTTCAGCTGTGTAGTTATTTCCCATATATTCAATAAATGTTTTCTACTCTTCTTTAAATATATGTCCTTCTGGCTGTCCTATTCTATGTGATAAATCTGCAAGTTCTGCATATTCTATCATCTTAAGCTGCCAATCCTCTTTAGTTGGGACCTCGCTCACTTTCCATTTTTAGGCTAACAAAACATGGGCCGCAGTTGTTGCACACATAAATAACCTTTCCTGACACCTAGGAATTTCTGTCTAGATTATTCCCTGTAAAAAGGACTCAGGTTTTTTTTTGGGGGGGGGGAATAATCTTAAACATTTTTTCAACTCATTATAAATCATTTCCCAATATACTATTACCTTTCTACATGTCCACCTCATATGAAAGAAGGTTCCCTCTCACCCCACTCTTTTCTGAACCTTTTCTAGTTCCACAATATCCAGTTCCACAAAATATCCTTTTGACTACCTCACAACACAATCCTAAAACGTTACTTTTAAAAATTGAAATTGAAAGCCAAGCATAAAACAAAATCATCACACAACACATGTATGAAATACTGGTGTGGAGCATAGACAAAAAGGTGGCCAAATAGATCTGTAATACATTCTAGACTTTGGGTCTAGAATGGGTCTAGACTTTGGGTACCTTGGTTTAAGAACAGTCCGGTTTAAGAACGATTTGGTTTACAAACTCCGCAAAACCGGAAATAGTGTCCCGGTTTGTGAACTTTACCTCGGTCTAAGAACGGAATCCAAACGGTGGAAGGGCACCAGCAGCGGGAAGCCTCATTAGGGAAAGCTCACCTTGGTTTAAGAATGGTTTTGGTTTAAGAACGGACCTCCGGAACCAATTAAGTTCGTAAACTGAGGTTGCACAGTACTAGAAATTATAACCAAAAAAGTTTAAAAACCCATAGGGGGACTCTGTTTTCTAATCCAGCTACACAGGAGATGGCAACTGCTATGTTGGCTCCCAAAGAAAGGGGCACAAATGCAATGGGGCAGAATGGGGCCTTCCAACCAGTCAGCTCAGGTTGTCTCCAAAGTGTGCAACTTGTGCATTTTGCAGCTCTCACCAAGACAGAAAACGTGTTAACTTCAGGCAATGGCTCCTCTTGCGTGAATCTCCCCCTGCCCGTGACAGTCTCTGTGGAAGTCCTGCTCCAAAATGCATCTTGCAGGGGGGCGAGTGGGAGGGTCTTGGGAGCAGCCCCAATGCTCAGCCCCAGCCCCTGTCTCTGCTCTCGCCTGGGACACTTGCAATCAGCTGGTGACCTTGAGAGCAGGCTGCTCAGTTTGGCTTTTCTTATGGTTTTGTGATTGTTTTTCTATCATTATACCCATTTCTTGTTTCAATTCAAAAATTAAATTACACTCAAGACACCACTACGGTGGGCCCTGTTCATTCAAAGTTAGCCAGAGCAAAATGACGTGGGGGGGGGGGAGGGAGAAAGCAGGTGAGGGGGCTTCAGAGGTGCCTGCAGCGGGCAGCCCCCCCTTCTTCCCTCCTCCTCCATCTTGGGAGACAGACCCACCATTCTCCCACTTCTCTGGCTAGAGAAAGTGTGTGTGTGTGCGGGGGGGGGGTGTTCAGAGGAACACTGGCCTGCAAATGTTTTGGGGGGCCCTGGCAAGCAGAGGGGGGTCCGATGACCCCCAGGGCCAGCTTTGCTGCTGCTCAGCCAGGCTCTGCTGGGGGGGGGCGGCGCTCCCAAGCGGGCCCACCTGCCCTCCTCCCGGGACAGCTCCTGCCCTGGAAGTGCGGAGGCCAGGAAGGAAGGAAGGAAGGAAGGAGGCAGGCAAGCAGTTCCTCCTCCTCCTCCATAGAATCGTGGTTTGGCAGGGAGCCCAAGGGTCATCCAGCTGAGCCCCTGCAGGACTCAACTCCAGCATCTCGGACAGGTGCCCCCCCCCACCTCCGCTTCCCGAAGTGCCGCTTGACCTGAAGTCGGCGGAGAGAGGAAGGCGCTGCGCGGAGTCCCGGCCGGGAAGCTTGGCGGCCGCTCCCGGGGAAGGGCAGGCGGGGGTGCGGCGGCGGGGAGCTTCGCCGAAGCGCGGCCGCACCCAGCTCGCCGGGCCAAGCACCTGCCGGAGCCCGGCCCCGCACAGGGCTCCGCGGTCGCCGGGCCCCGATGGGCGAACGAGCCAGCGCCGGCCTGCCCCGGCACGCCGAACGGCACGTGTCGGGACAGGAGCCGGCACTCCCGGGCGGCCGCCCCGTCTCTCGCGCGGCCCGGGAACCTGGCGCCCCTCCGGCCTCCCGGGACCCGTCGCCTTGCGCCCGGCGGAGGAGCCCCGACAGTCCAGCCCCGCGGCAGGCGGACGCTCCTCGGCCCTGCCCAGCCCCCTTCCCTCGGCCCGGGAGGGGGGCGGACACCCCCGCGCCGACCTCCGCTCCCGGCCTTGGCCCCTCGAGAGCACCGCCCGCCCGCCCGCCGCGGGTCTCGGCCCGTCGCCCATGCCGCGCGGCCGGTGGCCCCGTTTCCCCGACGGCAAACGGAGACGCCGCCAAAGAGGGGCCCCGGGATCAGGCCCTTCCCGGCTGCCGCTCGGGCCGCGGCCCCACCGGGCGAGCCCCCTCGCCGGCCCGCCTGGCAGCGCCTGCTGGAGCGGCCGGGCGAACAAGCGTCCGACGGCCTCGTCGGGGGCGCCCGCCTTACCTTGCCAGGTGAGCCGGGGCAGGCGCGGGTCCTCTTTCCGGCGAGCGGGCGGCGCTGCCTCTCCTCCCGCGACGCCTGATTCACCTCGGCGCAGGCGGGAGCCAAGCTCCACCCAGGGCAGCGCGGGGCGCGGAGCGAAGTTGGCCGGCCAAGTCGGCCCGAGGGGGAGAGAGAGATAAGGCGCGCCTCCCTCGCTCGGCACATTCCTGATGCGCCGCCTCCTCCGCCCTCGCCGGGCCCGGCTTGCCCTGCCCTGCCCGCGGGGGACGGGGCTTCGTCGCGGCCCCTCCCGCCTCCGCCGGGGACCCCTCAAGCCGGGCAGTCCCTGAAGGGGGAATCCCCTCGCGCGCTCCTGCCTAAGTTAGGCTGTCCTACAGGGAAAGTATTCCCACGTAGAAAAACGCGTGTCGGGCTCCGGTGGGGCGTCTCAGGGCCAGAGCACCCACGTCGGGGGGAGCCAACAATCCCGAGGCTGGGCCAGACTGCTTTGCTCGGAGGAGCGTTTGCGAGGCTACCAGTCCAGCACGGCGGGGGGTGGACTAGATGAGCCTTGGGATCCCTTTTCACGTGCCCAGTGTCCCATTCCACTATTGTTCCGCGCCCAAAGCCCTTTTCTACTTGCAATATATTTTTTATTGGTTAAACTAAGATCTCTCCTGCCGGCGAGGGGCTGGCTGGGCGGCACGGGGACAGAGGCAGCAGCCGGGGCCGGGGACTCGAGCAGGGCTCCCGGCCGAGCGGGCGCTTTCCGGGGCTGCCGGGTGGACCTGCCGGGTGGACCTGCTGGGGCTCCGTGACTCGCCCACCTGGCCAGCCCCGCCCCGCCGCTCACCCGGCCTGGGCAGCAGGAGGCGCCCTTGCGCCGGCGAGCCCAGCCCGGAGTCCGCCAGGCCGGGAAAGGGCCGCGACGGGGCCGGGGCGGGGTCTCCGAAGGGCCGCTAAAAGGCGCCTCCCGCCGCCCACCCCCCCAGCTCGGAGGCCCCGGCGGAGCCGCCTCCCCAAGGGGCTCCGCGGGCGCCGACACGGATTCCGCCGCCGCAGCAGCGAACAGCGCCGCGCCACGTGCGCAGGTGCCCGAGCGAGGCGGGGCGGGCGGGGCGGGCGGGGCGTCGTCGTCACGGTGTCGGGAGGCGCCCGCAGCCCCCCTCCCACCTCCGCGCCCGGGAAGGGGCGTGGCCTCTCCGCCCGCCGGGCGAGCCGCACATGCGCATTGCGCCCCTTTGGCCGTTGCCCGGCGAGGGAGGGAGAGGAGGCCCCGGGACCCCGGAGGGAGCGAGCGGTATGGAGCTGCTTTGCTTTGCCGTGACGGGTCTCCCTCCTCTCTCCGGCCCAGGGAGCTTTCCTGGCTCCTTGGCCCGCAGGCCTGAGGGGCTTTGGGCGCCGGCAGGGAGGGGCCCCGTGTCCGAAGCCAGATGCGGGAGCGGGGCGGGCGAAGAGGTGCCAGGAGAGCCGCCGCTTGGGGGGTGAAGACAAGGGAGGGGCCCCTGGGCAAACTCAGGGCACACGCAGCATGCTCCCTTCACAGCACCAGGGGGGTTTTATTAAAATAATTGAGTTTTTCACTTTTATCATCATAATATACCAGATAACAAAAAGTAAGAATACACTTCCCCAAATTCCCCCCACTTCCCTCAACTTCCTCTTCTGTTTTCTTTTTAAAAAGTATTACCTTCCCCTGCTTGCTTTATTATATCTTAATGTTGAGTTCTTTGTATCCAATGTTGTTGTTCCCTTATCATTTTAACATCGTCTTTATATTTTCTGTGTTTTGTTCATTGTGTTTCCTCAAACCCTGAGTCCATTTCTTTGCATTGTTTCTGTAGATACAACATAAATGGTTCCCAGTCTTATTTGAAGTCTCTATTGTCTTTGTCTCGGAGTCTTTCTGTTCGCTTTGCCATGCCAGCAAGTTCCATTGATTTTTGTTGCCATTCTTCTTTTGTTGGTGTTTCCTCGCTTTTCCATCTTTGGGCTAGCAGTATCCTGGCTGCTGTCATTTGTTGTTTGTTGTCGTTTAGTCGTGTCCGCCTCTTCGTGACCCCCTGGACCACAGCACGCCAGGCACTTCTGTCCTCCACTACTTCCCGCAGTTTGGTCAAACTCATGCTGGTAGCTTTGAGAACACTGTCCCACCATCTCATCCTCTGTCGTCCCCTTCTCCTTGCGCCCTCCATCTTTCCCAACATCAGGGTCTTTTCCAGGGAGTCTTCTCTTCTCATGAGGTGGCCAAAGTACTGGAGCCTCAGCTTCAGGATCTGTCCTTCCAGTGAGCACTCAGGTCTGATTTCCTTAGCATACATAAATAATTTCTTCTTCTCTTTTGGCACATCTTGACCTGAAACACCTAATAAAAAAGCTTCTGGTCTTTTAACAAAAGTTATCATAAACATTTTTAAAATTTCATTATAAATCATATCCCAATAATTTTGAACTATCTCGCAATTCCACCACATATGAAAAAATGTTCCTTTTCTTTACATTTCCAGCACTTATTGTAGCCTGTTCTATATATTTTTGCAGGTGTGATATACCATCTATACATCATTTTCATATAATTCTCTTTTAACAATATACAATCGGTAAATTTTAAGTTCATTTTCCATACTTTCTCCTAGTCTTCCATTTGTATATTGTCCTAGGTCTTGTGCCCATTTAATCATTACAGATTTAACCACCTCATCTTTTGTTTCCTATCCTAGTAGTAAATTATACACTTTCTTCAAAAGTTAGGTATTATCCTCTATTACTTCTCTTTGAAATCTATAGTATAACTACCGTATTTTTCGCTCTATAACACGCACCTGACCATAACACGCACATCGTTTTTAGAGGAGGAAAACAAGGGAAAAAACATTCTGAATGAAACAGTGGATGTATCATTTTTGTGCTTCATGATGTGGCCACAGACATGTGATCTGATGGTGAATTTGGGGTGACCCAATGCAAAGATCCTGAGAATCCCTGTGGATCCATGCTTTGTAACCACGTTTTTGCACCATTGCAGCCCCAGGCAACAGTGGGTGCGTGCTTTTTTTGGTGCAGGCTGTAGCCATGGACATGCTATGTGATCTGATGGTGAATTTGGGGTGACCCAATGCAAAGATCCTGAGGATCCATGTTGATCTATGCTTTGTAACCACATTTTAAGTGGGGAGCGAAGGAAAAACAAAGAAGGGACATGAGAGGGGTGTGCAGAGAAGCAGCTGGCTAAGAATGCTGGAGAGGGATTTAACGGGTGGGAGGCAAAAGTTCCCCCCCAAGCCAGCCATCTCTCTCTCTCTCTCTCTCTCTCTCTCCCTCCCCCCCTCTCCCTCTCCCTCCCCCACTCTCTCTCCCTCTCCCCCAGCAGTACCGGAGCACAGAGAGGAATTAGAAAGAACGACACTCTGCTTGCCTGGAGGGAGGGGCTTTCCCTGCTCTTTGTTCCGTTTCAGCAATCACAGCAACGAAACAGAGGAGGGTGGGCAGTAAGACCCTGAGGCAGAATACAGGAAAGCTGCCACTTCCTCTTTTCAGGTTTCCCTTCTCCGTGACTCGCGATTTGACTTTTGCTTGATTTTTTGGCTCCAGGGACCACACATTCGCTCCATAACACGCACAGACATTTCCCCTTCCTTTTTAGGAGAAAAAATCTGCGTGTTATAGAGGGAAAAATACGGTAAATCCCTTCTTTTTGTCCTCTTTAAATACCTCATTCAACTGGCAATATTGCAGCCAATCATATACATGTTCTCTGATCTCTTTAAGAACTTGACAGCATCAGTCTTAAAAGCGCAATAAAAATAGTCACGGCGCAGATATCCAAGATCCAAAAGACTTGCTTTGCTTCAGCTTTGCCCAAGTTTCCTGGAGATTTTACTAATGATGCACCTTGGGATAAAAAGCTTGACTGTTCTGAAAGGACCGAGCCTTTCTACAAAAACACCTGTGTGCTCAGGACGTGTCGGGCCGCCTTGGGTTTCGCTGAGCCCCCTCTCTGCTCACCTTGTTGCTCTTCTCCTTCCAGGGGGATGAGTGCCAAGAAGGCGGCAGCAGCAGGAAAGCCTCCACTTCGGAAAGGGGCAAAGCCCGCAGCTCCAGCAAAGGGGGTCCCTGGGAAGGCAGGTATAGTACCCATGGGGAGGAGGAAGGCAGGGCTGAGGCCCTGCTGCAGAGCCAGCTGTGAGGATCCACTGCACAGTCCAGGGTGTGGAGCAAGGGGTGCCTGCAGGATTTCTGCTTGTCATGAGGAGTATACAAAATGTACCATGCTATATATAATATATTCAGGGCAGCTCAAATGTATTTTGTGGTTCCGCTTGCCTAAGTGCAGAACCTCGCATTTGCGCCTGTTGAAGTTCATTTTGTTAGCTTGGGCCGAGTTCCCCAATCTGTTAAGGCAGGATTCTGTCTTCTGCAGCACTAGCTACCCCGGTGACAATTAGCATTTTTTGAATTTGGTTTCTCTTTTATTTTCCCGCTGGCTCGGGGCCCACAATTGATGGAGAAGATGCTGCCCTACCAAGCAACAGCACCAGACCCCAAGAAGTGTCCCTGAGCAGCCATCCCAAAGGTAGGCAGCGGCACAGCAGAAGCTAATCGGGGGGGGGGGGTCTGCAAGGCCTTTCTGGCAGGGACTTAATGGTGGTGAAATATGGCGGGGGAGGAGAGCAGAGACTCTCTTGAACAGGTTTGGTGCAAGATTTTCTTCTGAGCCCGACCCCTTGTAGGCAGGCTGGCTTATTCCCACAGCCAGCCCCACCACTGTTTGTGGCACTTCATGGAGAGCTGTTAAGCAAGAACAAAAATGAGGCAGGCTCTGACCCCCCCCCACACACACACCTGGAGGGATGGCAGAGGAAGGGGGCAAGGAATAGTGAAGAGCAAATGCAGCTGTTGGGCTCAGCCCATTTATTTGATGTGTTCATAGACAGCCATTAAAGGCAAAACCCCTCACAGGGGAATGAGGACCAGGAGCAGCACTAAAGTTTGTTACTTTCTTGTGAAAACGATGAGGGTTATGTTTTATTTACGAGTTAGGGGCCTCAAAAAATTAATGTGCCAGAATGATATACAGCCGAAAAAACAAATTTAAACATAGCAGCACTAATTCCAGCAATGTCATCCTAAGAAGTCAGAAACGAGGCCAGATGGACTCCAGAAACAACCAGAGTCTGGAAAGGCTCCAGATCTCTGCATTCAGAATACCTGTTTGAGGGGAACACCCTTCCGCCATCTCCTCCTCCAATCTGCGTTGACCAGCAAAAAATGTTACTTGGACTGACCTTTTCATGTTGTGTAGAACTTCTTTTCTCTGCAGGAAGTTTGTGACTAGGTTCCCCTCAGTTTTTTTCACCAGAGTTGAAGAAGCAGAGAAAAGGAGCAAGTGGCTCAGCCTTGTTTGAGGTGTTTTTAAACTGTTTTTGTTTGTTTTTGCTTTGTTTTGTTAGTTTAATGTGTTGGTGTTAGGTAGTGTTTTTGTATTGTATTTGTATTGTTCTTTTCTTTTTCTTTTTGTTTGTTTGTAGTGTTATGTTGAAAATGTTGGAAAGGTAATAAATATCATTTTTTTAAAAAAACGTAGCTCAGCCTTGTACCTACGCCCTTGCCTGGTAACTGTAGCTCTGTGTGAGAGCTCATGTCTGCTGCGAGCTGGCTGGCGGGGAGGGGAGGGGAGGCCTGCCCCCTCCCTCCTGTGGGCCCAAGTCTCCAGAGATATGGAACTGCCCCCCTCTTTTGCCAGCCTCCAGGCTAGTAGCATTTGGAGGCTCATTTACAAGGCTGAAGTACCTCTCTGGCTTCGCTGGTGTGGCTGCAAAGCAGGTCTGAGGTAAGGCAAGACATTAGACTGTATACGTGGGGAACCTTCACCTGGAGAGCCTCCCTATCCCTATCCCACAAGCGCCATCACCTCCTAGGACCTAAACCACCAGCAAATCCCTTGGGATTCCCTTTTATGGCCCTACACTTCTGCTTTCTGCCCTCAGAGCTGACGCGTGAAGCAAAGGCTGCGCTCACGTTGCAGAGTGCCTTCCGCCGCATCTTGGCATGTCGTGAGAGAGCGAGGCGATTGCAAGAGCGACAGGAGTACAATGAGTTAATGGACCGCCTCCAGAGAGAGGTGAGGTGACACTTGGCTTTGGGAACATGAGAGAAGCCCCCTCCAGGGGGAAGGGAAGCTGGGACAGACATCATCAACCTGAAGGCGTTGTAGACGAGACAGAAAATCCAGCCCAGGGCTCTCTTGTGAGGGTGGTTGCTGGGGAAGCATCTCTGTGGCTTGAAGCTCAGGCTAAAGTCCTCCAGATCTTACGGTGGCCTCCCCGTGCTTTGCATTCTTCTTGATGCTCTTCCGCTGCCCATCAGTGTGGAAAGCCTTCCTCTGTTTTGCCTCCCCGTGACTTGGCCTCTTGGCTCCATGGGCTTCTGTCCTAGGCCTTTGCTGCGCTGGTGAAGAGGGAGCGAGAGGAAGCTGAGCGGGAGAGAAAGAAAGAGGAGGAAGAGAAGAAGAAGCAGCGGGAGGAGCAGCAGAGGAGGAAGCGGATGTTGGAAGCGGCCTTTGATGGGGATGTGGAAGAGATGAAGGCCGTCCTGAAGGAGGTGGGCAAGGCCTCGCTGTAGTCAGAATCACTCAGCCCTACCCTCAGCTTGTGGCTTCTGAGCTGTTTGCCTGGCAGCGCCTGATCTCATGGCCTGTGCAGGCAAATTAGAGTCTCAAAATGAGGACAGAGGGACCACATGTGCACTTTGGACAGAGCCGGGGTGGCTTCAAGGAAGGCACAGAGACTGCATCAGGTGAAACTGACTGCACAAAATAACCTCGGTAGCAGCACGGGGTACTTCAGCTGGAGTCAAGCTCACCCTCAACTTTATACTCAAAGTGCATAGCCGGTTGCCTTGGGGAATCCAGAGGTTCTGCTCTTGCACTGGGAGTCAGTAACCTCTGCACCGTCCAAAATAAGTTTGCCAGCCAGCTCCCGGATGAAACCATGTGAGCTGCAAAATGAGCCTTTTTCACAGCCTGCGCTGCCACATGGTAGACGCGATTGTTTGTTCTTACCAGTGTTTGGTCAGCTTCAGAGTGAGACTTGTGCCACTTGGCTCCAGGCTTCGTCCGCCCTGTTTCGTATTCTGGTGCTCCTCAAAGTACCAAGTAGCAGCCAGGTGTTTTTTGGGCAGGAGTTGTTCTGATTGTTTCTCTCTTCTTCCACAAATCCTCTCCCCGCACCCCACCCCGGGACCTGCACTCTGCAGCCTTCCCACATGCCCTTGTTTCAGTGAAGGCTCAGCAGAGACACCATGAGGTCACTTCCCCCTCAGGGCTTGTTCATATCAGAAGGAAAGGCCTGCAGATTGCGGAAGTAGTGTTTACTGGGGGTGAGGACCCCTGGGCCACCCTCAGCCAACTTGCAACAATAAGGTAATCTCACTGCATCCACTGAAAATCTAAAGTGCACCGAGAATGAGGCAGAAAAATGGAAGCCTCTCTAGCAGAGAAGGAAAACATTTGAGAAATTGAAGGGCAGATTTTGGCACATTACTAGTTTTACCACCCTGACTAATTAGGTGTTGTCAGTAATCTGGTCCTCACTGTGTTCAGCCCTGATGTCTGCCCACATGTGAGGTTTTTGTGCCAGTCCAACAGCCAGGTTCCCTGAGCAACTGAACCTTCTGTGCTGCCACAGCAGCTCAGCCCATCAGTGTCAGCAGCAGCTTCATAGCACAACTCCAGAAGGTCACTACACCGAGTTGGAGACTTCTTTGTGCCTTTTCTAAGCTGCAGGTTCAGGCTTTGCAGCCAGAATTTATGTGTGAGGGAGTAAGGCACAGGGGAGTTGCTGTTGTTGCTGCAAGGTTTATTCAGCACCAAAAATGTGTAAAAGCCATGCCATGGCTTTGCTCAGAGAAACAAAGCAGGAAAAAGTGGAAAAAGGACCAGCTTGCTAGAGTGTAAGAGCTGCCTTCCTGGATTGGGCCCAGGTGAGCCTACCAAGCTCAGTATGTCCTGTTTCCCGTCTCCACCAACACAGCATGGTAGAGCTTCCTTTAGTTTGTTCTTTTGGCCTGCTCTCTGCGTGGGGCTTGTTTTGCCAGCTCTTGTGTTCTTTCTGAAAAGCCACTGAGGTTGGGGGCCACTGCCTGAGTGTGTGGGGATGGATTGCACAGGAGGCAAAGGGAGGTGCTGGTGAGACGCTTGGAGGTGGCAGGTGCGGGTGGGCCGGGAGGATGTCCCAGGTTGGTGCCATGCTGGTTTTGGGTGCGGAGCCCATGCTCCCTGCATGCCAAGGGCCCCCTTTCCTGCTCTGCAGTGGCACAGTGCAGAATCGCCATGTTCCTTCCCCACTGTGACCCACAGATTTGGTTTCTCAAGGTGGCAGACCTGGACACCAAGAGCGGCCTGGGGACAGATGAGAGGGGCAAGGCTCTGCGCCTCCAACATCGCCTCAACATGGTGGACTGCACTGACGCCAATGGCAACACCCCCCTCTCTGAGGCTTCTGGAGGGGGCCACCCTGATGCCATCCGGATGCTGATAGAGAACGGAGCCAACCCCAACAGCCGGGTGAGAAGCAGGAGGGAGGTGGCAGGGTGAAAGGCGTTGTGGCCTTGAGCCAGAGCCAAGGTGGTGCTTGGGGGGCAGAGTGATTCCGTGCTTTGCAGTTGGCATGAAGGGTGGTGGGCCAGCACCTCAAACCTCCCTCCCCTGGGATTGCCAGCAAGGCTGGTGCCACAAGTGCCACTGGCTCCCCTCTCTTGTGTCTCTGGCTTGGCAACTGGTGTGCAGGTGAGGCAGCCAGCATACCTAAGAGGGTCACAGCCTGGGAAAGAGAGGGCAGAGTCCTGGGGAGGCAGCCTTGCACCCCACAGGGTTGGGGCCACAGCAACCAAAGTTCAGTTTGCTTGAGCCAAATGTGCTGCTGGAAATTCTGCGTGGCAAATTAATAATGTGAAGGAGCCTTGCTTTCTTTCTGTCTCCCCCTTCTCTCTGTGTATTTAGCCCAGTGTTTCCCAACCTTTTTTGGGCAAAGGCACACTTGTTTGATGAAAAAAATCTCGAGGCACACCACCATTACAGCCCCGTGACGTCAGCGCGCAGCGTCACTTGAGCTCCTTCTCCTGCTCGTTCAGGGCCGCAGTGGCGTAGCGTGGGTTGTCAGCACCCGGGGCAATGCAAGTAATTTGCGCCCCCTAACCCGTGGATTTGCGCCCCCTAACACTAAGCCCCAGATGTTGCGCCCGGTGTGGCCGGCCCCCCCTGCACCCCCCACGCTAGGCCACTGATCCATAGCTAAAAGCAGAAGTCGACAAATGTGTCCTGTTTTTTGCTCTTCAAAATATGGCAACCCGAAGACCCCCAGGGACCGTCCAACCAGCCTAGGAAGTGTGCTCTGGTCGCGGGGGAGGAGACACGAGGCATTGCCATCCACACCTGGAATTGAGGAGGAGCTGGAAAGGTCCTTTGGTTTCACACCCAGGACCCATTTTTTCTCTCTTCTTTTGAGAAAGGGGTGGGAAACGGGATTTGGAGGGCGCATGTGTGCGCGTAGCTGAGCTCCAGTTGCTCTGGGCATTTCTGGACGGCGCCGGTAGCGTCTCTCCTAACCCCTCCCCACCCCGGTCTCCACCCCCCCCCGCCCAAAGGCTTCCCCCTACCTGGCCAAAGTTCCACCCGAAGCTGGAGATGCGGTTCGCGCTGCCCACGAAGAGGACGCCGAACTCGGAGAGGACGTATTCCTTGCGCTCAGCGCAGCGGCGCAGCTAGCCGCTCAGGGGCCCGGGGCGGTGCGCGCGTCCTGCAGCCAGGGGCGAGTGCCATGGGGGCGAGCCATGGCAGGGTGCCTGCAGCCTCCCCCTCAGCTGTAGGGAGGCTGAGGCGGTGGGCAGAGGCCAGAGCGGAGCTTGCGGGCAGTTCGCCCGCAGACGCATGGCTCAGGCACGCTGCAGGCGCCGAGGTGTGGCGCCCAGTGCCCCCCGCCTCGCCTAGCTACCAGTGGCATAGGAAGGGGTCTGCGGTGGGTGCGGGGCTGAAAGGACAGACAAGGCTCCAGCAACCACCCCCACCGCCAAGTCCGCCGGTCCTGCAATCCCTTGCACGCTGACTTGGAAGTACAGTGGTACCTCGGGTTACATACGCTTCAGGTTACAGACTCCGCTAACCCAGAAACCTCGGGAGGGGCAGAGAGCTGCGAGTGCGCCCCCCGCAGATGTTGCGCCCGGTGCGGCCGGCCCCCCCCTGCACCCCCCACGCTACGCCACTGCAGGGCCGGGTCGCCGCCGTGAGGGAAGGGCGCCGGGGCGCTGCTGCTGCTGCTGCCGCCGCCGCTCCCGGCAGGCATGGGCCCAGCTGAGGCGTCGGCGGCTGTTGTGGTGGTGGCGGCGATAGCGGGCAGAGGAGGGGCGGCGGCGGGGCCGAGGTGGCCGGCGGCGGCGGGGGAGGCGGCGGCGGGTGGAGCAGGAGGGCAGCCGAGGCCGGTGAGGGAGTAGGGTTGCCCGGGGCTTGAGGAGCCGTCGCTGGGAGTTGCTGCTGCTGTTGTTGCTGCTGCTGCCCGGACATGCCGGCCTCCTCCTCGTCCGCTGTCTCACGCTCCTCCCTTTCGCGCGCTGCCCCGCCGCCGCCCCATTGGCCGGGTCCTGTCAGCTGATCCTGTGTTATTTCCTGTGTGTGTGTGTGAGGGGAGAATGGACAGAGAAACCTCGGCGGCACCACCGCGGAGCCGCCCCCGGCTCGACGCGGATCCTCGCCGCCGCCGCCCCGCCTCTCGCCGCCCGACTCGCCCGCCTCCCTCCCACGGCACACCAGGCAAGGTCTCGCGGCACACTACTGTGCCGCGGAACACCGGTTGGGAAACACTGATTTAGCCCATGCTGAGGGATTTCAGTGTTAAAACAAGATGTTTTTTTGTAACCTGATGGGCCAAAGGCCAAGGGTTCTGTAGTCCCAGGTGTAATGTCACTTCACGGACCAAACCCTTGACAGATAAGGTCAGATAAAATAGCATTGTGGTAATGACTTATCAGGAACAGCTAAGCTGTGGGGAGGATCACCTGGCGCCTTCATTACATATCTTTGGGCGCCAGGCAAAAATGATTCTTCTTAACCAGGCCCTGGCTGACTATGGCCTTTTAAATGTGTTTGTGGGAAGGGGTTGTTGGTTGGTTTTATTTTGTCTTCTCATTTTATTTTTATGTTGTGAATATAACATATGTTATATTCAGATGAAGAGCGGTATACAAATTCAATTAATAAATAAAATATATTGCTGCATATCTATAATTCTTCTAAGCAGCTTAAAATTAGGAATAAACTGATGAATAAGGGGTTGGAGACAGTTAAGATTTTTTTCCTGTGTGTGTGAGTGTGGTCGGGTTGGTGGTGTGTGGAGTCCTGTCCTTGCCAGGATGTGGAAAAGTGTTGGGGAGGCAGGAGGTGCTGCACCTGTTGAATTGCCTTTGGACATAGGAAGGTGTGGTTTGGGAGGCAGGTGGGTCATCCTGGGCAATGGAAGCATGGATGGTTGCCGCAATCCTTGCATCAGTCTCTGTGTACCTGGCTGCTCCCCCACGGAGCTCCCTGCACCTTCTTTGTGCCTTGTTGGTTTGGGGAGGAGACCTCTTGCTTGTGGCTGAAGAGCCTGCCTGCTGGACAGATGAAAGAAAAGGTCTTCACACAGCATGGGGGCTTCCCAAAAGAGGTGTCTGGTTGGCTACTCTGAGAACATAGATGGGCCTTTGGCCTGATCCAGCAGCTGGGGGGGGGGCAGAGCAAAGCCTCCACCATACCTAGTAGCCACGGATAGCCTTGTCCTCCATGCTGTTGTCTTTGACCACTTCCTGGGTCTGGGAAATATGACTGCTGCCTGTTGTGGATGGAGTCACACTCTCCGGAGGAGCAGCTATGTAGGCGGAGGACAGGTATGTCTCCATCTTTGTCCCTGGAGGCAGAAGTGGATTCAGGTGCTAGGAGCACCTTCTGACAGTATGGCCCTGTGACAGCTGCGGCTGTTCCTGGATTGGGAGGTTTCCCTTTGGTCCGCTCAGAGCTGCGTCTTCGGTGTGGCAGCTCCCGCCCCTGGCCAGGCATCAAAAGCATCGGCATGGAGGCATCAATGTAAAACTCTTCTCTCTCACCCTTGGCTTTTCCTGGTGGCATAGAAATACAGTGGTGCCCCGCAAGACGAATGCCTCGCAAGACGAAAAACTCGCTAGACGAAAGGGTTTTCCGTTTTTTGAGTCGTTCCGCAAAACGAATTTCCCTATGGGCTTGCTTTGCAAGACGAAACGTCTTGCGAGTTCTTGCGAGTTTGTTTCCTTTTTCTTAAAGCCACTAAGCCGTTAATAGCCGCTAAGCCGCTAATAGCCGTGCTTCGCAAGACGAAAAAACCACAAGACGAAGAGACTCGCGGAATGGATTAATTTCGTCTTGCGAGGCACCACTGTATTTGTAAACCAAGAATTAAAATAAATATTACAGGGCCTCTGAGTCAGTCCGAGGGTGAGGAAGAGCACCTCTGGCAATAGGAGGAGACTCCACCTCTGCAGCCCTGAGGGGCCATGCTGTGCTGGAAGAGCAAGTGCAGAGCAAGTGGTGAAAAGACCTCCTGATGTCCTCGAAGAGCCTGGGATGGAACCTCACAGGGAATCCATCTTCCTAGTTAGTCTCTTCTCACCATCCAGCCAGAATGCACAAGGGAGGCAGTGGACGTCCGTGTCTTCAGTCTGTGCTGAAGATTCACTCCTTGGTAACAGGCAGCCAATAACTGCCCTTCTAGCAGATGGTATATTGCAAGTCCAATTCTCCCCCATTCCAGAGGCAACCAGAACTCATTTTTTAAAGAGTAAAAAGTTCTCAGGTGCTTTTCCTGCATTGACAGAATTAGAGAACTGTTGGAGTGTACTGTAAAGAGATTGGTTAGTGGCATGAATGTGCCGCCTGCGGATGCTTCGCTTCCAGCTGCTTTCCTTCTGTAAACCCTGTTTGATCCCTTTATTTTTAAGGGCGCTTTTAACCGGACTCCTTTGTATCGTGCTGCCTTTGCGGGCCACCTGGCAGCAGTGGAGCTGCTTCTCCAGCACGGGGCTGACCCTCGACTCTATGCTGATGACGGCAACACCCCAGAGCAGGTACCAACCCCAGCCGCCTCCCCCAGCAGCTGCTCTTCTCCTTGGCCTTGAGCTCCAGGTAGGCTGTTTCCACCAGGCCACCTGGCAAGAGAGCGAAGTACCTGAAAGAGAAGGGGAGCTGGTGTCCCCGAAGAAGCCATGGAGAGAGAGGAGAGCAAGGGTGAGAGCGAGAGTGCCCTTCTCACTGCATGCCAGGCCTGGTGGCTTGGATGGGCATTTCAAGCCCACAGCCCTTTTGTCTCTCCCAAGATTGCTTCCCTGGACAGCTTGGTGGCTGTGCTGAACTCCTGGGACATCAGCCTGACAGAGTCCATGCTCCAGAAGATGGAGGCGGAAGAGCAGCGAAGGGCGCAGCAGGACAAGAAGCAGAAAGAAGCAGAGACCCGACGGTGAGCCCTGCCAGTTGCTGCTTGTGGGCAGCTGCTCTTCCAGGCTCAGGGCAGGATCAAGCTGTAGGAGCTTTTGCAAAGGCACCCACTGGCACCCCCCCCCATCCCACTGCAGCCATTGTACGGCTCACCTGCTGTCACCTGGAGCCACTAGGTGCTGGCCCAGCCTGGAAGGTGACCCCACAAAAAACAACCCCAGTGGAGCCAGTTGGATTCCAGGGACAGCTCAGTCAGTAGACTCGAGGGGGGGGGCTGGCAGGGAGGGGTGCTTGAGCAAGCGGCTGATGGATTAGACCACAGGCAACCTTATTCACCATTCATGTGTCTCCAACCCAAGTTGGCGGCCATCACTACATCTGGTGTTTCTTTATCAACTACTTGAATAAGTTGTCTTTCCTTTGGTGTGTCCTCAGCCTCCCACATTCAGCTTCATGGAAAGCCCTTGCTGGGCTTTAGGACTGAGAGGGAGGAAAGAGTTTGCTAAAGCACCTGGGGAGTGGCAGCGGAGGGAGTCTGTCCTGCAGCCTGTTGGCCCCTTCTCACTGCCAGCACAGGCCAGAGCCCACCAGGGCCCCTGCCCCATGGGAGCCGGAGATGCCCCTGCCTGCCAATGGGGAGGGAGGCTCTGGGGGCAGAGCCCTCCCCCTCCCCCACCTTGGGCCAGGGCAAGAGGGAGCAGGAGGAGGGCAGAAGGCGGTGGCTGGTGCAGGGAGGCTCTCCCCCTCGCCAACTGTTACTGTGACCAGTGACTACCGTGAGTCATTGAGTGGCTGCTCTCAGGAGGAGGCTGCAGTTGCCCTCCGCTGGAGCCCCCACCTGCTCCTGCTGCCATTTCTCCTCAGACAGCTCACATGGCCATGCCAGCTGCTTCAGATCTTCTGGTTTTCTTAATAGAAGGAAAGAGAGTACTTACTTTGTTTAGGCAATTCATGCTACGATTTTACATTTAATTTTGACTGAATGGTTACACTTTCTTCAAGAATGACTTGCTTATTGCAACAAACCCTTGGAGAAAAATCCTTTTCTTGTTAAATTTGTTACACGCTTACTCTGTTGTTTTCTTTTTTATAATACTATTAATTGATAAGTTTCCTTAACAGAAGGAGAAAGATCAAGAGAATTAAATGTATATTGCCAGCAATTACAATGATAGAATTGTAGTTGGAAGAGGTCCTTAAGGGCCATTTAGTCCAACCCCATTGCATGCTGGTGGGGAGGGTCTCTGCAGCCTCTGACTCCTCTTTCCCCTCCCCAGGATGACAGAGGAGGTAGAGCAGCTGGCCAAGGAGCACGAGAGATGCAGCAAGGAGGTGGGAGCCAAGAAGCTCTATGCGGCCATCCCCTTGTCTCTATGGTCTTCCTTCCCAGAAGGCCCTCTGGGGTCTTGCCTGCCTTGGCACCTGCTGGCGCTGGGGTGGATTTCATGCCCTCTCCTTGAGCCATGAGGGGGCTGTGCAGCAGGGCCCTGGCCCTCCCCATTATGGGGAGAAGCCACCCAAGGCTGGGCCCTCCCACATCCCCAGCTGTGTGGGTGTCCTCGTTCCTCCCTCCCCATTTGCCAAAGGCTGGGCCTGCTCATCTTCTTTGCAGCTGCAGCAGGCCTACTGCGAGCTGAACCGGAGGATCACAGAGCACGACAAGTGCCAGCGGAAGCAGATGGACAACGCGGAGATCACCCTCGGTGTGAGCACCACCTTCCTGTAGCCTCTCTGAGCAGGGAGGCTTCTCTCTCACAGAGCCATGCCCTTGCCCACCAATGAGGCTGGCATCCAAGTGGGTAGGAGAGCCTGTGCTCTCTGCCTTCTGTGCAGCTGGGGTCGAGGGCTTCCTGTTCCTTGGCCTGGCACCTTGGCTGTGCGCTGTTGAGCAACCCATAAGCTGGTGGAGGGAGCACCTGCTTGGCCTGCAGAAGGTGTGCCTGGGAAGATTCCTGCCTGGCACCCACTGCAGGCCACCCTGAGGGAGGAGGCGGCTCTGCTGGGCACCCGGAGGCCGGTTCCCACAGGGCAAGGCCAGCCACACTCAGCACAACGAGGGCTTCTCTGACAACCTGTTTCTGCAACAGGCTATTGCGGACGCAGAATCCCTGGTGCAGAGGCTTCGCGCGGCTGCCGAAGATGCTGAGGAAAAGGTCTCCCTGGCCCGGCTGAAGCTGCGGGAGCAGATGCAGGAAGGTCAGTCCTGTGTAGTGAAATGCTGGACTTGTTGCTGGGAGAGACGGGTCTACAGAAAAGTCCTGCCTAGCACTCCCACACCCTGAAGGACAAAGTGAGCAAAAGGCATGAGGCTCCTTCTCAAGCAATCAGAGGTCATACAATCATAAAGTTGGAGGGGACCCAAGGGTCATCTAGTCCAACCCTTGCAATGCAGGAATCTCAGCTAAAGCACCAATGACAGATGGCCATCCAACCTCTGCTTAAAAACCTCCAAGGAAGGAGACTCCACCACCTCTCATGGGAGTCTGTTCCACTGCTGAACAGCTCTTACTGTGAGAAAGTTTTTTCTGAATGTATAGTTGGAATCTCCTTTCTTGTAACTTGAAGCCATTGGGTTGAGTCCTCTCCTCCAGAGCAGGAGAAAACAAGCTTGCTCCCTCTTCCCTGTTATAGGCCTTGAGATATCTCCTCTCAGTCTCCTCTTTTCCAGGCTAAACATACCCAGCTCCTTCAACTGCTCCTCATAAGGCTTAGTTTCCAGACCCTTGATCATCTTGGTCACCCTTCTCTGCAACCTTTCCAGCTTGTCAACATCCTTCTTAAATTGTGGCGCCGAGAACTGGACACAATATTCCAGGTCTGGTCTGACCAAGGCAGAATAGAGTGGGACTATTGCTTCCCTTGATCTGAACACTAGACTTCTGTTGATGCAGCCCAGAGTAGTGCTAGCTTTTTTCTTCTTCTGTTGCATCACACTCTTAACTCAGGTTAAGCTTGTGGTCCAGTGCCAGCAGGTGGGCGGTTGGAAACAATTCTTCTGGGAGGGGAGAAGAGCTGCCACTTCCCAGGCTGATCCAGTCATAGTCAAGAGAATTGTAGAATTGGAAATGTCCCCGAGGGTCATCTGGACCAAGCCCCTGCAATCCAAGAACTGGGATGCTCCAGATGGCCATTTTCTTTGTGTTGGGAAAGTCCTCTGATGGCTTTGTTTTCTCTTCCAGTCAGTGAGGCCTGCTAGAGTGAGGTCTGCCCAGATCTTGTGCTTTGCATTGCCTTCCTGTTCCAAGGAGCTCATAGGGGCAACTTGGCCTCAGAGTAAACCCATAAGAACTTTGGAAGAGCACTTCAGCAGAATCAGGCCAAATGGGGTGAATCAGGTCCATCTAGTCTGGCATCCTGGTCTCAGTGGCCCAGCAGGTGCCCCCAAGCAAAGTCCACAAGCAGGACTGGGAGCAAGCAGCAACTTTCCCCACTTGTCATTCCCAGCCATTGATCGCCTGGCCATGAAATTTTCTAATCTTTTAAAGCCTCCTTAGGCAGTGAGTTCCATAGTTCAACTATGGGCTGTGTGAAGAAGTCCTTCCTTTTATCTGTCTGGAATCTTCCAATATTCAGCTTCGTTGGATGTCCCTGAGCTCTAATGTTTTGAGAAAGGGAGACAAACTTAAAAAAAGAAAGGGAGACAAACTTTATGTTTTATCCATACCATGAATAAGTTTATGCTTTTCTAACATGTCACCTCTTACTAAAAAGTCCCAAGCACCTTTCTTCATAGGGGAGTCGCTCCATCCCTCCCCCTTGATCATTTTTGCAGCCTTTTTCTGAAGCTTTTCCAATTCTACAGTATCCTTTGTGAAGAGCGATGACCAGAACTGGACACAGCATTCCACATGCAGTCACACCAGAGATTGGTATAAAGGCATTATGATATCAGCATTTGTATTTTCATAGAATCCTAGAGATAGAGAGTTGGAAAAGACCTAAAGGGTCATCTGGTCCAGCCCTGTGCAATGCAAGAATCTCATGATCATGCAACGTCTGCTTTAAAACCTCTGCAGCTGAGTCCGCTCACTCCAAGGGTTGAAAGTTCTTCTACATTTAGCTGGAATCTCTTGTAACTTGAATCCATTAGTTCAGGTCTTACCACCTGGAGCAGGAGAAAACAAGCTTGCTCCGTCTTTTATCTGGCAGCCCTTTGGATATTTGAAGATCCTTGAAATAGCCATTTTTTGCTTTGGTCCTTGCTACTGTCGATGCTGGAGCATCAAGGGGTGTCTGGAGCCTGCAGTGAGCCATGTCAGGACCACAGTGCAGCAGTGCTCAGAGTTGTGCTGGTTTTTCAGGGTCAGCGGAAGAGTTCCATGGCCTGAAGTGCTCTGTGCAGGAGCTGGATGATGTGCTCTTGAAAGACGTGGGTGGGAAAATCCATGCAGATGGACGGTGAGTTGAAGGGAAAGCACTTTCACGAGACATTGGGGGTCCTGGCCAGCATCTCCCACAGCCTCCCCTCCCCTGCACCGAAAGGCCCCCCTCTTTGGCCTCACAGTCTTAGCCCCTACCCCCATTTCCCAGCTGCTGAGGCCCCTGGCCATGAAGTTTCAGCTGCTGGGCAGTGTGGAAGACTTGCTCCCTCTTGTGCTTTCTCCCCATAAGGTGGCCACTGGTCATTGACCCTTCTGGGCAGGCAGCCATCTTCCTGCGCTATCGGGACACCAACTTTCTGAACACGGTGAACCCCAGCGACATGGCTGAGGAGACCATTCGCCTGGCATTGCTGGGCTCTCTGCGGTAGGGACACAAGCCAAATGCCGGGCAGAGAGGCTGCCCACTGCCAGGCAAAAACACCTGGGGGAGAGAAGCACTGCTGCTGCTGCTGCCACCTGATGACCTACAGCCGTGGCAGGAGTGAGGTAGCATCCAAAGGCATCTGGCCCACTAAGCAAGAGGCAAAGACTTGCCCTCTCCTGTCTCCTCCAGATATGGGAAGCCCCTTGTCTTTGACATGATGGAGGTGAACATGTTTGACACAGTGAAGAAGCAGCTGGAACGGCTTAAACCAGGCTTGGCAGAGGCACTGCTGGACAAGAAGATCCTACAGAATGAGAGGTGGGACAGTTGACCTTCCAACCGCTGTTTAAAAGCCTCCATGAAAGGAAAGCCCACCACCATCCAAGGGAGTCTGCTCCACTGTCAGACGACTCTTAGCATCAGTCCTGTCAACTGACAAATGGGTGCCCAAATCAAGAGAGCCAGTGGTTTTCTCAATACCTTTAGTGCCTCCCCGCCTCCTACCGAGGGTGCTTGCTCCCCCCTCCTTCAGTCTGCTCTCTCTCTCATTCCCATCTTTCTCCATTCTGGGCACTTGCTTCCCCCGTGACCCTTCTAATGCTCCAGCCAGGCTTTGGGCAGCCTGCCATGCAAGTCCCAACCCCCCACCCCAGGACCGATGGGAGATTTATTTCAACCTGCTCTGCAGCTTCATTCTTTTGTGGGTTTCTACCAGATTTTTTATTTCTGCAAAATTCCAGACTTGTCATAGCTTTTTGCCACCTCCCACTTGGGTGTGGATGGTACTCTTTTTGTTGTATAGTAAGTGGCACAGAAATGAAGAGCAGGATGCTTTGGGCAGAAATTAATGGCCCTGCGCTCCATGAGCAGATGCCCCCAAGCCCCACCGAGTGAATATATTCATTGCCCAGAGCACTGGTCCTGCTTTAGGAAGCCAAGAGGCAGCGTGGAAGGTCAAGGGTCCTCCTCCCCCTGCCCCCCAAGCAGCAGCATCAGCAGCACAGGGGCCGCTTTCTATGAGACTTACTCCCGCCTTGCTCTGTCTGCAATCTTGCAGGTATCTCTCCCTACGGAGACCAACAGATGGGCCTGAATATGCAGAGACAGAGTTTCAAGCAGCTCGAATAGAAAAATTCAAACTCTTCATTGTAACTAAACAGCAGCATCCTCCCGAAGAGATGCTGCAGCGGCTCCTTCCGATCCAGGTCATCCTGTCCCGGTAGGCAATGCACTGCAGGCGGCCTCATCCAGTGCTGGACATTAAAGGAAAACCTGAGCAGCGGGTTTGTGTCCTGTAATGAATCTTGTAGGCCCAGCACCCTGCAGGTTCTCTGCAAAGAGCTGGCTACTACCTGCAAAGCAAGGGGGCAAGTGGTTGCCAGCCCCCACCAGTGGCTGCAGGTGCTGCTGGCCCCCAAGTGAAGCTGTGACCCTTAGCAGGCTGCAGCCTCACTAAGACTTGCTTGTTTTCCCCCCTAGAAAGCGAGGCTTTCGGAGAGCCCCCTTCTCACACCAGCGTCCCTTTGCCCTGTGAAAAGTACATCCCAGAGCCTTGGGGCCAGTCCTCACCTCAGCCATGAAGCCTTTTCTTAGCACAACTCATTCCCCTTGACTCTTGCAAGCAGGCAGGCAGGCAGGCTTGAATGCAAATAAAGGTTTCCTTGAAAAGGTGCCTCTTGAGAATTTCTACTACACATCAATGCACCAGGCCCTGCAGGGGTCTCTCCTAGAACAAATTCAGGGAGTGTGCATTGAGAGGAAAGGGAGGGAAATGTGTGGGGTGGAGACACCAGGCATGGTTGGCACTCACTCACTTGGCCCAGGACTTCCCAAGAAAGAGGCAGCCTTCCACAAACCCCCCCCCCACTCCTGCCCGTGTGGGAGCAGGATGCAGGACTCAGTGGGATGAGCCTCATGCTGCTCAAGGCCTGAGTCCTTGGAGTGGCTTGAGCAACCTGGACAACACAAGGTGAGGGAGGGAAAGGCTCTGCCAGCTCAAGAGAGAAGCATCATTTCTAAAATGTAAAGTAAACTTTATTGTCCTTGAACCACAAAATAGATTTCTTTGGTTGTACAAATGTCACTAGTTACAGTCTTGATCTCCCTCGGAGTGTTCTGGGAGAGGAGACAGACAGAGAGACATGCCACAGCCCAGCACCTAGAGAAGTTGTATGTTAGTCACGGAAACCCTGCCTGATCACTTCCCAAATTGCTCATTAAAAGCAAATGCTAAAATTAGATTAAAATCAAAAAGCTCTAACTGCTGCTGTGGAAGCAGCCACTGTGCAGCTCGAGAGGCAGGCAGAGGGAAGCCTCCCCTCTCGCCCTCTGCAGACAAACACAAGTTCTGTTAAAATGACCCTCTGATTTTGGCATGAGGAGCTGCTGCAACTTGTCCTTTGGCAGAGGCTGCCTGGCAAGTTTGCACACGTGATGAGCACACACGCCAGCCAGCGCCACCCACTGCTCACCACCACCCAGCCAGGAGTGAGGCTAAGCCACTGCCACGCACAGGCAGCGCCACTCTTCTCAGAAAGGGGCCCCAGAGGCTGGAGCCAGCAGGCAGAGCAAGCAGCAGCCCTGGCCCTCGCTGGAGCACCCTTGGCCGCCAACCTGTGCCCCAACATCTTTGCCCTACCCTGCACTACCCCTCTCCCTGCGCCCCAACCACCAAATCCCCCCTTTTACCTGTACCTTCTATCTGCTTCACCCCATCCTAATGAAACTAGCCTGCTCCTACTCTTGCTCCCTCACTGCTCTACGTTTGCTAGCACCAGGCAGCTCCCAAACGTTCCCTCCGGCCCTTGCTGAAGAGGCAGAAGTGCCCATTTCCGCCCGTGCCCCCCCTCACGGCATGGATGGCCCCCCAGAAGGAGAAGGAAAATGGCAGCACTTGGCAATAACTCCCCTCTCCCTCCCCATCCTGCACAAGGGTGCTGTCCCTTGGCTGCCCTTTGCCAGGGAGGGGGCAGGACAGCTGGTGCTTCCCAAGTGGCCCCCTCGCTGTTTGGCAAATGTCAGCTGGGCCCGGGCTCTCTGCAAACAGTGGTCAGCCTGAAGCAGCTGCAGCACCCGGGCACCCCGCCCTCGCACGCACGCACACACTCCCACCCAATATTTACACGCACACATGCCCTGCATGGGCCCCCCGCCCCTCTCACTGCTCTCTTCGGCCCCCCTCTGCGTGAGGAGGAGGGGGAGTCGCAGCCCACAAGATGCCAGCTGAGGCGCCAGGGAGCTTGTTCTGTCCAGGCCCACCTGGGAGCCCGCTGGCCACATCACCACACTGTCCACAGAGCGGACCCCCCACTTGGCTCGGTGGTGTTTCTAACAGCCCCCAAGGGCAAGTCTACTATGTGGGGACAGCAGTTTCCAGGTTGTGCTGGGTTGGTCGGAGTTTGCGCTTGCCACCGCCGCTGCTGCTGCTGCAGTGCCCCATCTCTTCCCGAGGGGGAGTTGCGCTGGGAGTCAAGGGGTCGTGCGCCCCAAGGGGCTCCTGGGCTGCTGCCTGTCCGTCTTGCTCCTGGCTCACTGGAGTGGGGGGGAGAGCAGAGGGAAAGAGGTCATGGAGGGCTGAAGGGGCGGCAGCATCTGACCCCAACCCCCTGCCTGGCTTGATTCAGGAGGTGCCCAGGGCAACCTCTGCCCCCTTTGGGCACTGCCTGCTGCCCCAGGCCGGGGCCCTTCTGCTGTCTGCACAGGCTGTGGCCCTGCAAAGGGGTTGGGAACTGGGAGGCCTCCGCTTTCCAAGCAGTGTCCAGCCAGCTTCAGGTGGGCTGAACCGAGGCGCCCAAAGCAAGACCTCAGGAACACACAGACAGACAAACAGGCAGGCAGGCAGGCAACCCAAGGCAGGCCGAGATCCTTCTGCTTCACTGGTGGCGAGCAGGAGCTCCTTTCGGGCAGTCAGAAGTGGGGGATCCTGCAGAGCCACCAACTTCCCTGCTGACACGCCTCCCAGGTCCACTTGCTGTGCCCAACACACACACACACACACCCCGGGGAAGAATGGGAGCCAGTTGCTCCAAAGCAGCTTCCTGAGACCAGAGGTGGCAACTTGGGCCCCAGACTGGGTGCCCAGTGGTGCGTGTGCACGATGTCATGACATCACATCGCTCGTGACGGCGATGGGGCTGGGGCAGCGGAGCCTGGGTGCCCATGGCCCCATGGAGATGGCACTCTGGCGCCCCACCCCCACCGTGGCAACCAGGCCAAGACCTCTGCTGCAAGTCCTCCACTGCACCCCAGAAGCATGTCCATGGCCGCAGCAGACCCCAGCAGGGGTGCCAGAGAGCCAGCGGAGATAAGGCAGGGGGAAGAGGCCAACAGCAACGCGATGACGGGGCACCCACAGTAGACATTTTGTGGGTGCCCAAACCCTCAGGACCCCCCAGAGATGGCACCAGTGCCTGAGACCTAGAAACAACCTCAATGCTCTTCCACAAAGCCCCTCCTCTTTTGAGAATGCTTCCCCCCTCCTGCCTGCCAGACCCCTTCAAGCCTTGCCTGGAATTAGGCTTCCAGGGTCAGGGTCCCTGAGGGTATCCCCAACTTCTTTCCAAGGGAGGCGGCTGGGCATGCTCATTGGGCCACTCCCAGCCCCTTAGGCAGGATCTGACCCACCCCCCGACCCCACCAACTGCATGCTCATCACAGCACTCCATTCCTAGGCAGTGCAAGGGCATCCTACCCACTGCTCCTTGCTGCTCAGCTGACCATTCACTCTAGAAAGGAACAGAAAAAGCAGAGGCCTCAGGAGAGAAGCGCTGGTGGCAGCACCCAAGGCCAGGAGGCTCCAGCTGGGCACTCACCTGAGCTGCTGGCATCGTTGAGTCTGCAGGTGCTTCCACCATCTGGAGTCTGGAAGGACAGGGCAGAGCGGGATCATTCCCTGCCTGCTCCCCCCCCCGCCCCCCAGGACATAAAGCGCCCTTGCCCGTTCCCACGGGGTTGGGGGGGAGCAGGTGCTGAAGAACAGAGCATGCGGTGGGAGGGGAGAAAGGGGGTGCAGAGAAGAGCAGGCAGGAGGCCCCAGAAGCAAGAGAGGAATTCCAGAGCCAGGGCGCCTGGTGCTAAAGTGCCCCTCACTCAGCCTCTGAGCCCCTGCCCACCCGCCAGGCAGAGGGACAGAAAAGCAGGTCGGGCATGAGGTGGGGCCAGGGAGATCTGGCAAGAGATCCCACCAGAGCCCGTTAGGTATCTTGTGTGGTTCACATGCTCCCTATCTGTGAGGCCCCCAGACCCCAAGACCCTGCTGGGAGGAAGGCCTCCTAAGGGTAGGCCCTGCTGGCCATGGCTGGCAGGCGGAGGCTTCCCAAGACAGAGACCAACTGGCCTCCGGAGCCTCCAAGGAGATGGCTGGAAAGGCAGAGGGGCAAGGCAGGCAGCAAGCGGCCCCCTCGCCACCAGCGCTGCAGAGCCAGCCAGATCAGGAGCCAGGATGAGCTCAGCAGCCTAAGACCACTGCCAGGCGGGATCCAGCACAACAGCTGCCTGGCTTGGGGGTGTCCTTGTGGCATGGCCTGGAGATGGCAAGGAGGGGGCCAAGAAGCCACTACAGGGCAGCCTGCCCTGCCTGAAAGGGGTCTTCAGCAGCCTCTCCCCCCAACAGACCTTGGAAGGCCTGGGACTCTGCTCTGGGTTGGGGGCAGCCTCCAGCCTAAGCCCCAGTGGCTGCCAATGACCCCCAGGACTCTACCCTCCCCCGCCCAGGCTAGATGGGGGCAGGAGGTGGAGCGTCAGACCCAGACTGCCCGGGGGGGGGGTGTTTCTGACTGCCCCCACCACATGTAGCTTGTACCTGGATTTCATAAACTGGTTTAGAAGAAGGAATGGCAGCAAATTCCCTGTAGAGAAACTTCTTTTCAGGCACAGACTGGAGGGCCAGAGGAGTGGCAGAAAGAAGGGAAGAGGCAGAAAGAGAGAGAGGGGGGGAAAGAGGATGAAGGAGCATGTGGGGAAGCGGGGGGGGGGTTCCAGGGGGGTCGGGCGGGGCCCTTCCTCCTGCTCTTCTTGGCAGGCTGCAGGGCTGGACTGGGGGGGGGTCAAGGGGCTCCCTCATGATGTTTCCCTGTGGCAGCCATCTTCCCACCTCCTCAAGGGTCACACTCCCTAAAAGACCCCCCCAAAGACCCCCCCACCTGCCCTGGCCAACGACAGAGTGCAGCAGCAATGAGGTCATGCCTGAGGCCCACAGAATGCCCCCCATCTCCAAAGGGGGAGGCTGGCTGTGCTGGGGGGAGTCAGAGCAAGAGGGAGCACCGGGGATCCCTCCCCCAGACAAACAGAGGGAACAGTGTGGGAAGCAAGGCTTGGCGCACCCCCGACCTGAAGAGCTGCAGGGACCTCCATGCTCACAGCCCCCCAGCCCCCTCCTCTGAAGCATGACTGGTGCTGGGTCCCCCTCCTTACCAGCCTGCCTGGAGAAGTCAGGATCCGGGTGCTGCAGTCTGAAAGAGAGACAGGATTTGGAGAGAAAAGAGAGGATGAATTGTGCAATGTGGGGGGAAGACGTCAAACCCATGCCTCCCCCTGAGCGGCTGTGGGACCTACCCTCCAGGGGGGTGGGCGAAGGGGTGGGGGCGGGCGAGGGAGACTCCGCCAGCTGCTCCAGGGTGGACCTCTTCTTGCCCTCCTTGGACTTGGCAATCACCATCTGGGCCTTGAGGGCATCCTGCTCCAGGGACTTCATCCTGCCAGGCGGGAGAGGAAGAGAGGTTGGCGCACCTGGGGTGGGCTGGCAAGACAGGCGGAACAACCGTCACCCAGGGCAGGGGGGGCATTGCAGGGCCCTCCTCACTTGGCCAACGGAGGAGGTGCTGAGTAGAGTCGCCCCAAAGGGCAGTGGCAAGGGAGGGAGGAAGGAGGGGTGCAGGAGGAAGACCACAGCCCCCCCCATTGCTGCAGAGAAGGCAGAAACTTGGTGGGGGGCAGAAGGGCCACCCTTGCCTCCTTCATCCAGGGCGGAGGCTCTCAGGAGCAGATCTGCCCCAGCCTGGTCTCTTGCTTGGCAAACACGCCTGTCCAGCGCAGGAGGAGCAGAGGAGGCAGAGCAGGGCCTCTCCAGTGGCGGCACCAGCCAGGCCTTCAGCATAGGTGTGGCCCAGCTGCCCCTCTGGACGGGGGGGGGCACCTCTGGGGCTGTGCAGGCCCTGGGGTGTAGGTGGGGTTGTGTGGAAGTTCTGCCAACCTGGGGTGGCCCCCTGGCCCAGGGCTTCTTGTGGTGGTGGTGGTGGCGGCGGTGGCGGCAGCAGGGCCCTGCCCCCCCAGTGCCTGCTGGCGGGCTTGGTAGAGCCTCCTGGCCAGATCCTGCTCATACTCTTTCATGCTCTCTTCTAGGGTGGAAGAGCTGAGGAGGAGGAGGAGGAGGAGGAGTAGAAGGGAGGCGCCGAAGACGTCCCGACAGGCAGGAAGATGGCAGAGAGAGAGAGAGAGAGAGAAAGAAAGAAAAGGAGAGGGAAGGAAAGGGTGGGCAGGAGGATGAGGCAGATGCCAGCAAGGGGGGGGGCGGACCTCACCTGTCCTGGTCAGTGCAGAAGAGGGCAGTCCCCCCTGCCCCCCCCCCGATCAAAGACAAGCGAGTCCCACCAGGTGCATGCAGATGGGTGGAGGGGGGCAGGAGGCAGGGGCTGCCCTGGAGAACCCCACATGCACAGCCAGCCATACTGAGGGAAGGGGACTCCAAATGGGGTGGGTTTCTGAGGGGCGCAGTCACACAAGGGGAGCCCTCCCTTCCCGATACGGGAGACAAGGAAGGCGGTCCAGAGCCTCTTCCCAAGACACCTCCCAGCCTCTCTCGTTCGGTGCCCGGCTGGCATCAGCAACTGGCAGGGGGACGAAGGAGGGGAGGGAAGCCAGTTCAGGGTCTTTATCAGGGGTGGGGCTGCCTGAGGTCCCCAGAGCCCTGTGGAGATTTGGAGGTGTGGCTCAGGGCACCGCTGCCAGGCTGAGCCTCTTGCAGAAAACCGGCCTCTCTGTTCCTGGGCTGCGTTCGCCAACCAGACCCTGAGCAGCAATGGAGAGGAAAGAGGAGAAGGCCTGGGAAGCGAAACGGGGGCCACTTAAGGGCAGAGACTGAACTGAGCGGCGAACAGACGAGGCTCCTCGTCCTGCCGCAACAAGAACCAGAGGGGGGACTTGAGAGGCGGAAGAAGGGCCCTTGGCCCCCTCCAGTGCGGACTGGAGCTGGTGGCGCAGCTGTCCCTCTGGTGATGGCAGCCGCCATGGCATCTCGCCCAGGAGAGCTTTTCTGGGCAGCCTCAGGGTCCACTGCAGCTCCGCCTCAAGGGGCTTTGCAGATGAAGCCGCTCTCCTCCCTTCAGACTGGGGGCTGCAGGCGGAGCAGGGCCAGCCGATCTCTCTTGGGCCCCTTGGGCTCCTTCTGGACTTCAACAGCCTGAGGATGTGGACAGAGCCCTGAGAGGCAAAGGAGAGCAGCTGGCTCCTCCTCTTCTCAAATCTCTGGACTACATGAAATGTTCCCTCCTTGGGCAAAGTGCATGGCAGCTTCTCGGTGGAAAGGTGAACTTTGTCCTGTGGAAATAAGTGCTTTTTCTTTTCTTTGCTAGGACTTATCCCTGCAGAAGCCATGCTGGTTCCATTTCAGCAAGACTCGTCCTTCTATATCCCTGGCAATTATATCTTTAACAATGCCTTCTGGAGCCAGTTTTTCTGGAAGCAGATGTTACCAGCATGTAATTCATCATATCCTCTCTTAGAAACCTTTTTTTAAAAAAAAATCTAATGACTGGCCGCTTTCCGGGGCTGATCTCGGCGACAAGAGGTTTGGGGTTTTTTGGTGTGTTTTTTTTAAGCTTACCAGCAATTTGACATTTGAGCGCTTTAACAACTCCTGGCTGAGTGCTATCTGGACCCAGTGGTCTGTCAGTTAACTTCATCTTTAAAGCCTAGAATTTTGTCTCTTGTTACCGCTATTTCTCTGTTCCTCTGACTCCCTTCTGGTGAAAGCTAGAAAAAGTGGGGGAAAGAAACAAATGATTCTGAGACACTTTGACTTAAAATAAATACTGGATTGATATTATCATGGACTGAATGTTTTAAGTAATCTTTTTTCCCCTTTTTATGCAACCAGCAGATAGAACATTTCTTTCCCTTTTGTCTTTTATATTTTCTTTTGCTTTGATCTCTCTCTCTCTTCATGTTTTTTCTTTTCTTAGTCTTCTTCATGTTCTTTCTTCTTTGGAGTCGCATGTTTGGGGACTTCGCTAAGGTCCAGGGATTGTGCATTCATGGGGGTGGGAGATGGTTGATGGAGGGTCCTGGGCTGGAGATGGGGAAACGTTGGTCTCCCAGCATGAGAAGCTGGGAGAAGAAAGGGAGGCCCCTCAGGGAGAGCGGAGAGGGACGGCTACCTTCTCTGGGTGGTGGGGGCTGACAATTACCGTCAGGAGAGGACTGTGTATTTCTTTGTAGTTGTATTGTGTAAAAATTGACATCTGTCCACTTTCAAAATGTTGACTCAGGTTAAACTTGTGGTCCACTAAGCCCCTTGATCCTTTTCCAAAATATTACTGGCAATGTATTTTTAATCTCTGTTGGAAGTGGCTGGGGAAACCCAGCCAGATGGGTGGGGTACAAATAATTTATTATTATTATTATTATTATTATTATTATTATTAGCCAGGTGTCCCCCATCTTAAATTTGTGCACCTGATTCTTCCTGTCTAAGTGCAGAACATGACATTTGTCCCTACTGAAACTCATTTCGTTAGCTTGGGCCCAGTTCTCCAATCTGTCAAAGTCCTTTTGAATCCCGATTCTGTCTTCTGAGGCATTAGCTGTCCCTCCCAGTTTGGTGTCACCTGCAGTTTTGATGGGCATCACCTCAATATCTTCATCCAGGTTGTTTATGAAGAATTTGAACAACAACGGGCCTAGGACAGAACCCTGAGGCACCCCACTTGTCACTTTTTGGGGGTATATATCTTAAGAGCATGCTTCTTTCTTAATTTTTTTCATCCTCTTAATGGGGTCTGCTCCTAAGCCAGCCATTGGGTCGTATTTCAAATGAACCTTTTAACCGGCAGAGAGAGAATTTCAGTAGTATTTTATAGACGTTTCGGAAGTAATTAAAGGAGGCTTTGCTGGTCTTTGCCCCAGGGACTGACCTCTAGGGCTATTGAGTGGTGCTGGGGCAAGTTTGTGGTTCTTCCGCTCCCAGGTCACTCACCCCATCTGCCCAGGTCCTTTGAAGATACCTCCATCCCACAGCAGGGGAGCAATCCTTCCAGAGCATTTGGAAGTTAATTCCTGTTGCTGTATGTTTCTTCCTCAGAGATAATACGATAGACAGTAGCTATGTTCATCACCACTTAATTGCCTCTGCCGACAGCGTCTCGACAGAGGCAACTAACCAGCTATGATGCCTCCCCGGAAGTCCTCCTCCAAGGGTGTGTGATGCGGGGCTGCCACCTCCTCAAGCGCCTTGCCCAGGAAGGGACCACTTGTCACTTGCCAGTATTTGCCTAATGCTTCTGGGTCCAGGGAGGTCTTATTAAGTGGGGAGACAGCCATGCCTCCTTTGACCCCCAGCCAGCCCCTGTGGCTAGTTCTAAGAGGCCAAGATGGGCAGGGGCCAAGGCTGGCCACACTTCTTCAAGCCGCTTGTCCATATCCTCAGGCTGCTAGAATCAAAACTGACACAGTGCAGAGGGAGTAGACAGTGCGCTAGATGCCGCTGCTAGATTGCTCTGAGGTGGCATCCCTCTGTCCAAATCTGAGTCATTTTGGTCCTCAAATGCCTGGCAGGGATCTTGTGGTTGGCCCCCGGGGGTGTCAGGGCAACGGTCTCTTGGCCAGGGGACGCAAGTCCATTCACCACTCAGAAAAGCTTGGCCACACGGCTACTTGTGGAAGCCATGGTGGTGGTGAAGTCAGATTTCTTTGCTGCAGCCACCACCACAAGGCAGGTGCAACGGTGCAACTTCACCTGTTTTGGGTCAGGCTAATTTACGCCACCCCAACGCCGTGGGTGCCCCACCCTGGCAGGGCAGAGCAGCTGCCTTCTGCCCAAACCTCACCAGGGAATGGTCCATGCAGGATGACGGAGTCCCCCACTCCCCCTCTGCCAGCTGTGTCCGGGAGGCGGGCAGAGTGGGGGGGGATGGGGCATTAACCCCACCTGCATTCTGTTAGGACTGGGGGCGAGGCAGTGGGGTGAACATTCAGGCCACAGGGACCCACGGGAGCAGAAGGACCCACAGAAGCGGAGCAGAGGCACCCATGGTGGCCCCCTGGCCTCCCACACACCCCATCTGAGGACCCCCGGCTGGCCATGGGGCAAATTCAAGGCCCACTCTGGCCTGATCCAGCAAAGGAAACCGATGAGCAAGGCAAGCAGCTAAGAAACCCAACATGCTGTGAGCTGGTGCTCCACAGCCCCCTTCAGAGACCATGCCTGGGGGGCGGGAGAGGGATGCTGCCCCTGCCCACCCCTCCCCACCTACCGTGCTGCTCGCCACATGGCCCTCTTCTCGGCCTCCAGCGCCCGGCGCTCGGCTGGGGAGAGCTCCTTCCTCTCCTGGGCGCTGAGCAGCTCTGGGCTCTGCATGCGGAGGCGCTCCTGCTGTCGGCGCTCGGCCTTCGCTGTCCTGACGGGGGGCCCAGGCTCACTGCCACCTCTGGGGTACACGGGGCTCAGCCTGGGCAGGAGAGAGCGTGGCTCAGTGGGGCAGACCCACCCTCCCTGCCCCACAGGCCCCACCCTCCGCCTGCCCTCCCATCTTACCCAGCCATGGAAGTGGGCCGCACCTCCGGCCTCCGGCCCTCCTCCAGGGAATTCCTCTGCGAGGAGCCATTCTGCCGCTCCGGCTCTGGGAACCTGGCAGGGCACAAAGCTCTGTGAGCCCCAGCCAGGGCAGGGACCGGGGACCGGGGAGGGGCCCAGAGACCAAAGGGGACCCCTGGGGAGAGGAGTCCGCAGGCGGACGCTAGAAGCCCCCAGGCCAAGCGCTGGGACTTGGGAGGGCAATCCCAGGGCTGTGGACGGAGCAGGGAGATGGCTGCTCTTTGCTTAGGGTCCTCTCTGTGGGCTTCTTCCCACCAGCATCCCTGGCTGGTTCCTGGGAGAAGGGGACGCTGGGCTGGAGAGACAGAGCACGCCTGCGCTCTCCGGATCGAGCCCTGCCCCTCCCCGGCATGGGCACAAGCGCAGGGGGCGCGGCACGCAGCTCACTCACCAGGGCGTGGAGGGCATAAGGCTCTGCCCCTCCAGCTTCTCCACTTTGTACTCCACGCCCTCAATGAAGATGCTGGAGGGGACGTCTGGGGGGCGTCTCTGCCTGGCGGCCTCTTCCTCTTCCTCCTCCTCCTCCTCCTCTTCCTCCAGCAGCTGAGCTCGCTTCTGCTGCAGTTTGCGAGCTGCCAAGTGAGAAGCCGGCAGGTCAGCCTCCCCACAGCCCCCCAAGGGTGGAAGGACCCCGGCTGGGCAAGGGAATGTCTCCAAGAGGGAGCAGCCTCTGAGATCCAAAGGTGAAGACGGGGGGTGGGGGGTGGATCTACCTGAAAAGCATGAGGGGACCCCACCCCATGTCGTCCTCCTCCTCCCCACCAGGCCGGGGGCTGAGGCAGGGCGAGGAGAGGGGCTGCTGCAGAGGGGCTTCAGGGAGGGAGGCTTCACTCCAGTGTTTCACTAGAGAGCAGCCCCCCCCCAGCAGTTAGCAGCCTCTGGGCTAGTAGCCCCTGGGGGGCGGGAAGAGTGGGGGGCCTTGGCCTGGCTAACCCCATGGCACGCACCTTCCTCCTCCTTCATCTTCCTCAGGTCTTCCTCCCCAACCAGCGACACCCTCTTGGGCGGCTTCTCGGCCGGCTGCTGCTTCAGCTCCACCTCAAAGTACTTCTGCCTCTCGCGGAAGGACCTCTGCTCTGGGCTGTGCAGGCCGCCCCCCAGCAGTGGGGCCTGGCCAGGAGAAGCCGGGCCCCCCGCCCCCCTGAAACTCACCTCGGAGGGGGAGGGAGGCTGCTCCGCACTCTTCTGGGGCTCCTGAGGGAAGAAAGGGCAGGCAATGGCTGCATCTGCAAAGGGCACTCTGCCCCCCCAAGGGCCCCCCCAAGCCGCCCCTCCCCACTCACCTCAGGCTCCAGGAGCAGATGCGGAACTGGGACAGCCGCAAAGGCCTTGTAGGCCTGCTTGGCGCTGACGGGGACGTCGCCTGGCGAGGGGGGCCTGGGAGAGCGCGGCTGGGGGCAAGAGGGCGCAAGTCAAGAGGGAGCGCGGCCCCAGGCCAAGGGGGTGCCACTCAAGCCACCAGCACCCCCCCCAATCAGCCCCAGGGCAGCAACTTACAGAGTTGTGGGTGCTGGAGCAGAGCTCGGGCTGCTGGAATGGATTGGGGCTGTCCCGGCCTTCCGAGGTCACCAGGGCTGGGGCTGGGCGCATGCGGGTGACGGGCTGGATCACACCCGGCTTGGTCTGGCACGGGGGGGGGGGGAGTCAGCCAGAACAAAGGAGAGGAAACTCAGCCTCCAACCCAAAGGCAAGCAAAGGTCAGGGCAATGGCTACACAAGTCTGATTGACCCCCTCTGATAACAAGGGACAAATTGGACAAAATGAATTAAAGGAAGATGTCCCCAAGCCCAGGGGCCGCCTACAAACTTGTGTGACAAGCTATCCTCCCCCCCCCCCGTGCTCTGACTGCACCATTTCAGAGTCCTGCTGATGCCAAGAGGGGCTGGAGGCAGCAGGCGCCCAATGGTCACAGCCCAAGGCCCACATGGCGCCAGAGGAGGCCAGGAGAACTCACCGAGGACTTGCTTTCGCTGTGGCTGGGAACAAAGTGGACGGCAGCCTGGAAGGAGAAAGTCAGGAAGGCATTTGGGGGCCGGGAGGGGCGCTGGGGGCCCCCACCCAAGCCCAGGCACCTCCAAGCTGGCCATGCCAGAACCAGGAGCCCCTCCCCAAACTTACCCCACAGTAAGCTCTTGCCCCCGCTCCCAAAAGAGACTCCACATCTTCCACTATGCTGGAAAGGCCCCCAGTGATGCCACAAACTGGTTCCTCCTGCCCCTCCCAGCTAGAAACCACTCTTGCAGAAGCAGCCAAAAAGACCAGCAGCAGCCGGGGGGGGGGGGCGAGTAGTGAGGGTCCCCTGCCCAGCCCCACAGAGCACCCTCCCCAAGCACAGCCTCAGCAGCCCCCCACCCAGGGCAGAGGAGGAGAGCGGGCACAGCACACCAAGGGGGCACTTACAAAGCGGGTCTCTCTGCCCACCAGGTGGGCTGGCCGGGGGGCAGCAGGAGGCTGGAAGGCAGCAGTGCCAGGGAGAGAACCAGAGAGAGAACCAGAGAGTCTGGCTGACTGACAGGCAGGATAGGCAGAGGAAAGCCCCCCCCCAACACACACCACAGCCCCCTCCACCCCCCTGCAGCACCCCTTACCTGCTGGCTGCCAGGAGAGTAAGGAGAGTCTCGCCAGGCGGCTCCCAGTTCCCCTTCCCCCGAGAGGGCGGCCTGAAAGGGAGAGGAAGGACAGCTGGTGAGCGGGGGGGGGGCAGTGGTGTTGAGGGACCCCAGGGGTGCCCAGAGAGACCAGCCCCTCCCAACCCCCAGGCAGAAGCCCCTTCCCTATGGGATCTGCCCCCTAAAGGGGCTCTGGCGGGTCATGAATCTGCCTGATCTCCCCAGTTGGAGCCACAAACCTGCCAACACTCTTCCTCCACTCGAGCCAGCTGCCCCTCAGAGCAGCGCCAGCTCCTCTGCTGCCCCCCCCATGCCCAGGACACCCCTCCCTCTAGTTTTGCTCACACTAAGAAGCCCCCCCCCCGCTGCGAAGTGCTGAAAGAGCACCTCTTCATTGGCTGAGCAATGCTGGAACTCTGCCCAAAGGCAGGGAAGGAACAGCACCCTCCGTTCCCAATGCAGCACATGTCTTCCTCTACACAAGCTCCTAGTCCCCATGGATGCACATTATAGGAGCCGAACTCCTGAACCCGCTTCCGTGCCAGCTCCCAAGTGGCTGGATCAGTCACACAAAGAGGGAGTTATGTCAAGATGGAACTGTGCACACTGCAGAATCCCACCCTCTTTGGACATTTAGAATTACTACTTTTCTCCTGTTTTGCTGCCCACAGACACACAAAGAGGTTGACAAAAGTGGCACAACAAACCATGAGCACAAACTGTCAAAGCAGGGTCTGCATGTTAGTGGCCCCTCCAAGAGGGGCTCAGGGGCTCCTCTCACGGGGGCAGCTGACAAACGCTGCCCAAATGAGCCAGGCCCAAAGCAGGTTAGTAGCCAAGCAGAACAGAGGAGCAGCCAAAGGGAGGAGCAGCCCAAAGACTCTGCAGGGAGCCAAGGGAGGAAGGGGCCAGCGGGGGCCAGCGGGGGCCCTCCTCTCCAAGCCCACTGCCTCGTCCTCCTGCCCTGCAAAGGCACGTCCCCATGGCAGAAGCTTGAGCTCGCCTCCCGCTCGATTCCACTCCACACACACACACACACACACACTTCCTGCATGCAGTGCAGAGCAGCTGAGCCCCCCTCAGGCAAGAGGTGGGGGGCGGAGAGGGTCCCGGCCCAAACCTGAGCCTTGGCTGCCTTCTCCCCCGCTGCCCTGGCATGCAGCAGAGGCACAGCACACAGCAGGCCAGGCCACAAGGCCGCTTGCTTGCCTTGGTGCAGAGACTGGTCTTCAGCACTCCCCCCTTGCCATAGCCAAGGGGAGGCCCCCCCAGGCACGCCTTGCCCTGCCGGTTGGCCAGCAGAAAGGGATTGGCGCTGAAGGGGATGGGCTGCGAGTCCACCAAGCTCTCTTCCTCCTCCACCTCCGCAGTCGGCAGGGAGAGGGCAGCCCTGGGGGGGGCCGTGGCAAGGCTTGCCTGGCCCAGGTCCAAGGGAGGGGGGGCCGGCAGGGGAGGCGCCCGTGGGTCCCTTTCCATGGCACCAGGAGGGACAAGCTGAGGAAGAGACACAAGAACTGCGTTTTCAGGGGCCACGGCTGGTGGGGCAGCTCTGTGGCTCATGGGAGGGGGGGACCCTAGATGCCTGCAGGCCCACAGGGAGGGGGAGACAGAGACCTGCCCAGGGGTGCAGGAGGGTGTGGAGATGCCTCCCTGCAATGCACAGGCATGGACTGCCACTCCCAGTGCCACCAGCAGCAGCAGCAGCAACAGCCTCTGTGGTAACTGGCCTTGCTGCCTGGGGGGAGGGAGGCCCCCCCACAAACCCCGTCTTCCCTCTGGGCACAAGCCAGAACCCCAAGACGCAGAACCACGGAACAGCCGGGCTCTGCTGCAAACCACCCGGGACATGTTTATTTTGTAACACTGAAAGGCAGAAGGAAACTTCAGAGAAACAGAGAGGCCTCCAGCTGCAGCAGAAGGGGCTGGGAGTGCCCCCCCCCCGCAATACCCCCTCCCCATTTGATCCCAGCAGTGGCAGAGTCTCAGGAAGGAGAGGAGGGGGCTGGGAGGCCCAGGAAGCCCCCATGGATGCAGGGAGGGTGGGAATAAGCCCCTCTGTGTTGGCCAGGGGGGCAGCCCAGGGGGCGGAGGGCCAAGAAAGGCCTCCATGGGGGAGACAGGGTCACCTGCTCTGCTCAGCAGGACAGAAGGGCCTCTCCCTGCCACCCTCCCTCCGAAAAAACCAAAGGTCTCAGCACAGGGACCCCTGTCTGGGATGCCCATCCCCTCGTCCCCCGCCATCCCTGGCACACCCAGCCGGGGGGGGGGAGCTCCTGCCCTTTGGCACCCACCGCCTGCTGCACCAGGAGTAACATGGCAGGCTGAGCCACATCCAGAGGGGGACAGCTTGCCTGCTCGCTCCCCCCCCCCATGAAGGCGGGCACAGTAGCAGAGCCCTGGCCCTGATTGAGCCTGAGGAAGCAGCTCCCCTGCTTGATGCTGCCCACCAGCTGCCCGCTCACTTGTGCCCAGAGGCAAAGCCCTGCAGGTGCCAGGAGAAAGAGAGAGACTCACCGCTCCTGCCAGCAGCCACAGACAAAGGAAGACACACACACCCCGCCCAGCCCCTTCCTCCAACGCCCACCAGGCAAGCCCAAAATAGCCCAGAGCTGGGCTGGCTCAGGAATCTCAGGCCGATCAGATTTCCAGAGAAGCAAAAATGGCCCCCAAGCAGCCCACCTGCTCCCTCCTCACCCAGCCAGGCCAACTGGGTCTTGGGCAAGTGGGGGGGGCAAACACCCCACTGCTCTTCATTGCTGCTGAGGGCAACCTCCAGCCCCGTCCCCCCAGAAGCAGAGTTCCACCCCCCCTCGGTCTGCTGCCTGCCTCCCGGGTCACCTGGTGTTCCCATCTCTCTTCCGAGCTCTGGGTGCTTCTCTCCTCAGCTTCCCTGCCCCCCCCCCGCCCCGAGAGCCAGCCCTGAAGCCAGCGGCTGCTTCCAGGGCACAGTACCCCCCCACCCTCCCTCCAAGTGACAAGGCCTCCGAAGCAGCTGGGGAGACTCGCCCGGGGCCCCAATCCACAAGAGCCATCGCTTGGCTTGGCTGAAGGCAGAGGGAGCAGCCAAGGCTGGCTGGCATCCAGCCGCCCTTCGCCAAAGCCAGCGGATCCCCATCACTTACGCCACGGGGGGCTTTCTGGAGGCCGCTGTTGGGCAGCGCTGCCAAGGTGCGGTAGTCCAGCTGCAGGGGCTCAGCGCCAAGGTCCTGTGGGGAGGGGGAAGAGGGTCAGGGGGGTCTCAGGAGCGTGCCCACCCGGCCCAGCCCCCTTCCTCAGCCCCTCAGCCTGGCCACCCCCCTCTCACCTCGGCCTCCTCCTCCTCCTCCTCGGCCAGGAGCTGCGTGGCCGTCTCCCGCTCCCGGCGCTTCCGCTCCTTCGCAGAGGCAGCAGGCGGGCGGCACAAGCAAAGAGAGAGCAAGAGGGGTCAGCAGCAGAACCCGCCAGGCAGCATCAGGCCCAGGGACCCCAGAGCAGCAGGCAGAGTCCCAAGCAGAACCCACAACTTCACAGCCAGAAGCAGGGCCCAGGGGGTCCCCAGAGGGTGCTTGGCCTCTCAGCGGGGTCTGCAGCAAAGCTGGCAGCCAGGGCCAGCCAGAGGGGCCCTTCCCTCCCCATGCTCTGCCCCGGGGGTGGGGGGCTGGGGTCTTCCCTCCAGCCTGCTTCTGTGACAAGAGGATCAGAAGAGCTCAGCCCCAAGGGGGCCCATCTGGCCAGCCTCCTCTGCTCGCAAGAGCGGCCCTCTCCCCCGGGGCGGAGGCGCAATCCTCTTCTGAAGCCATCCCTGCCTCCTGCAGCCGGCAGTTCCCCAGTTCAACTCCTGACTCTCCCAGCATTCAGCTTCACTGGGTGTCCACAAGTTCAATCGTCATGAGAGAGGGAGGGAAACTTTCCTCCCTCCACTTTCTCCAGGTCAGGCATCATGTTATAAACTTTTTTCAGGTCGCCTATGACCGTGGAACAATCTCCCATCAGATGTCAAGGAAATAAACAACTATCTGACTTTTAGAAGACATCTGAAGGCAGCCCCGTTTAGGGAAGTTTTTAATGTCTGATATTTTATTGTATTTTTAATATTTTTGGGGAAACTGCCCAGGGCGGCTGGGGAATAATAATAATAATAATAATAATAATAATAATAATAATAATACAGTGGTGCCCCGCAAGACGAATGCCTCGCAAGACGAAAAACTCGCTAGACGAAAGGGTTTTCCATTTTTTTGAGTTGTTCCGCAAGACGAATTTCCCTATGGGCTTGCTTTGCAAGACGAAACGTCTTGCGAGTTCTTGCGAGTTTGTTTCCTTTTTCTTAAAGCCGCTAAGCCGTTAATAGCCGCTAAGCCGCTAATAGCCGTGCTTTGCAAGACGAAAAAACCGCAAGACGAAGAGACTCGCGGAACGGATAAATTTCGTCTTGCGAGGCACCACTGTATTACCATCCCTCCCTCAATCATGTTCATTGTCCTTTTCTGAATCTTTTCTAACTCTACAATTTTTAAGGTGAGGTGCAGCAGACTCTGAATGCAGTTGCATCACAGATTTGTATTATATTAATCACAGTTTTATTTTCAATTCTTTTCCTAATGAAGATTAAGAGGCGAACTTTGAAAGCAGGGAAGAGAAAACTTTAACTAGGATGATGAACACCACTGAAAGCCGGGGGGAAATAACCCTTTTTTCCTGCCCCCCTAAAAACTGTCCTTTTCAAAGAAAGCAAACTACAGACCCCCACGGCCAGAGGCAGGTGCCGGGGAAAGGCCCTGGTCTTGGGCAAAGCTCTCGCGGGAAGGCAGGCAAGCAGGCAGGCAGGAGGGCGGCTGCTCCAGAGTCATTTGCTAGTTTCCAAAATCTGGCCCCCTCCTGCGGGACCCCAGCTGGAGTCACTCCCACCAGAGGCTCTTTGCTGCTCCTTTCCCTTTGCCCCCCACCCATTTCTCTCTCTCTCTCTCTTTTCCTCCTGTGCTGGTGAATGGTTTCCTCTTCCTCCAGGCGTGCAGGAGAGTGTCCCCCTGCCTCTCACCTATGGAGCAGCCAAGGAAGGAGGCCACAGCCAGAGGCTTGGCCCCCTGGGGAAGGAAAAGGCACCCGGCTCCTTGGAACTCGGCTTCGCTCTGACCTGAGGACTAGCTCAGGAGTTTCCTCACAGGAACTGGCCTAGATGAAGCCTGGAGGGAATTTTGCACATCTCCATTTGGAAGTCACCCCAAAGCACAACCAGTTGCAGCGGCTGAGGAGCTGGACTGAGGGGCTGGGGCCTTCTGCTTTCAGCTGGAAGTCCGGGCTCCAGGTGCCACAAGGCACACTCCCCAAACCCTCCGCCGGATCCCCCTGGAGGACCCAGCCTGGCCCTGAGCGCCAAGATACAAGCAGCCAAAGCCCAGAGCCCAGCTGCCTCCTCCAGCCTCACGTAAAGGGAGGAACGAGTGATTGCTCTCCTGGCCAAACCAGGCCTCGTCTCTGGGGCCATTCCACGCCCACGTTCCTTCCCAGAGCAAATCCAGACCCCCGAGGTCACACAGAAGGAGTTTGGCCCAAGGATTCTTCCTCAGAAGGGAATATCTGAACTCAACAGGTACGGAAGAAGCCATATTCTTGGCCGGGACCCGTCTGCCTCTGCCTCGCACAGACCCACGGGGGGGGGGGCTTCCCTCCCTCCCTGAGTGGCTGGCACTGTGCCCACGGGGAGCCAGAGTGTGGCCACCTCACCCACCGTGGGTCCCCCTGGGAAGACCTACGGGGGCCTCCTAAAACTGCCTTGTGGTGAAGAAGCTGTCTGGCGGGTGCTGGTCAAAGAGAAAAAGGCTCCCAGCCCCTGTCGCTGCTCCCAGGAGGAGAACGCCCCAAGCCCTGAATCATGGCCAGACAAATGACAGGCTCCCCCTGGTTTCCACTAGACAAAAAGGGCCCATTGCTCAGAGATGGAGCAGCGCAAGCCCTGAGATCGAATTCCAGAACCTCTTGGCAAAGGGCTGAGGAAGACTTGTGGCCCTGCTGGGGGGGCCAGGCACATGAAAGGGGGGGACACTGCTGAGCACAGTATCTCAGCAAGGGCTGTGTCTCCCCCCCCCACGGAGCCAAGGAAGGCGGCACAGGCGCTATGGAAGGCCCAAGTCACCTGGCACTGCAGGCCGAGGGCATGGGCTGGGCTAGAACCAGCAGCCTCCTATGGGCAAAGGCAGGCAGGAAGCTGCCCAGGCCGGGCAGAGGCACTCGCAAGGCGGGAGAGGGAGAGAAGAGCAGGATGAGCAGGAAGCAGAGGGAAGGTTGCCACTCCCTGCCAGACCTCTCCCCTCACCCCCGGCCCAAAGCAAAGCGCAGCCTCTAGGGGCAGAGGAGGCCTCAGCGGAGTCAGCGGTTGGGGGGAAGAGCCCAGGCCCCAGAGCAGCCCCAAAGCAGCCCCAGCAGGAGCAGGAGGGGGGAGGGAAGGGGGCTGCTGGGGGGACTGGAGGCCCTGATCCAGGCAGCCCCCTTCCCTCACCCTGGAAGGGTAGAGCAGGGCCATCACGTCTCACCACTTTCTCCGTCTCTTCCCTCTCCCACTGGGTTGTCTCCCTCACCATCTCCAACTCCTGGGGACACAAAGGAGGCGGTCAGAGCTGAGGGCACACGCCAGCCAGACTCCTCAAGGGCTTTTCTCCAGATCTGGGGGGCGGGGCGGGGATTGGCAGCCTGGCCAGAGAGAAGGGGACCTAAGCCTGCCCTCCCCTGGGAAGCACAGGCCTCACCTTCTGAAGGACGTCCAGCTCCTCCGGACTGAGGTCCCGGTCAATGGAGGAAATGCTCTCCAGGCTGTTCTTGCGCCCGATGCCGGCCGCAAAGGGGTTGGCAATGATCCCTGGAGATATCTGGGGGGCAGACGAGAGAGGTGAGTGGGGGGCTCTGGTCCCTGCCCAGCACAGAGGCAGGCAGAGGGGGTGTCTGGGGGGACACACCAGACTCTTTAAGAAGCTGCCCTCGCCACAGGGCTTCAGCAGGAAGAGGCACTGAAGGCAAACCTCCAGTCCCTGGCACCCACCTCAATGGCCGCCACAGCCTTGGGGTCAAACCCGTCGCAGACCAGCACCAGAAGGGTGTCTCCCACAGCGCGCAGGATCTGGACCGCTTCCGTGTGCGTCATGCCCAGCAGGCTCTGGTGGTTCACCTCCAGGATGCGCATGCCCACCCTCAGCCGCCCGTCACGGGCTGCAGCCCCTGTGGAGCTGACCTGCACAAAGCAGAGGAGGGTGAGGAAGGAGCCGGGGGGGGGAGGGAGGGAGGCAACCCCCACCCTCAAGGCCCTGGGAGCAGCCAGAGCTGGAGGGGCCCTGGAGGCAGAAAGGGCCTCATGGTTTGGGGAGGGGGCAGGCAGGGGGTCCAGCACCTTCTGCTCAAGGCTCCAAAACTCTGCTTTCCACAGCCCCCCCCCCCAACAAAAGTCCTCAGAGCAACGCTGGGTGGGAGGGACGTGGTGTGGAGACACGGCTGTGGGCCCTTCCAAACACAGCTGGGACCTTCCTCCCCCACTTGGCACTAGTCAAGCACAGCAAACTTCAGCCAGGGTGGGGGGGAGTGCCACCCTGTACCTTAGAGATGAAGATGCCCTCGTCCGTGGGGTCAAAGGGATTCCCCGCGTGGCCCTTGGCACCTCCTCGGATGCTGATGCCCAGTTTCTCCCCTGGCCTCTTTTCAATGCAGATCTCCTGGCAGAGTGAGCAAAAGCAAGTTGGAAGTGGGGCTGGGCAGCAGACCCCCCCAGCCAGGACAGAGGGGCCTCCTCCTTCCCAGTCCTGGCTGCCTCCACCTCAGCTCCAGCAGACGGGCACTGGAGAAGGCTCTTTGGGAAAGCAGGGGGTCGGCAGCGGAGGCCTTCAGGGAGGGGGCAGAAGACCCCATCCTGGGGAAGCTACGGAGGCTGCAGGCCAGAGGGGAGGGAGCTGTGGTGGGTCAGCCCAACCACATCCCAGCGGGGCTGAAGATGCCCAATGCTGAAGAAGGCGCCTCTCCAGGGGCACAACAGCAGAGCTGCGCCCTCTACCTGCATGCCCGGGGGCGGAGGGTCTCTCCGGACGACCATCCTCAGCTCCTGCGTGTTGGAGAGCAGCGCAGTCACGGCCTCCTGGTGCGTGGCGTGTCGGAGGCCAATGCCGTTCACCTCCAGGATCCGGTCTCCCACCCGCAGCCCACTGCGAGAGGCCAGGCCACGAGGAATCACCTGCCAAGGCAGCGCAGAAGAGGTGGGAAAGAGCCCTGCCTGCGGCCTGGGGGGGGCAAGCTGGCAGTGTCCCCAACACCTGCAGCCAGACGGGCACTTGGCCTGGCCGAGAGGCTGAAGATGTCTGCCCCCCCCCCGCCCCCCAGAGGCACTTCTGTCTGCTGATACACATATCTCTCTTTTCCTTTTGGTCTGACGTGGCTGCTGTCCCTATCCACTTTTCACAGGCAAAATCCTCAATGGTTGCAGAGGTCCGTATACTTTTAAATCACATTCCTGTTGCCCGCGGATTAGTAATACTGCTATAATGGGGATTGATGGAAGGCCAACAAACGTGGACTGTGCAAGCTCTTCTGGTGCTAACAGCCTGCCCACCCCCCACCCCCCAGAAAAACTATTATACAACAGTCTGAGGGCCTGGCCGTCTCTTGGCCACTTCTGAATGCATTCCCTATCAACGCCCATCTCAGGGGAGGCTCTCTCTGCGCCCCTGGGGGGCCTGCAATCCACTTTTGTGTTTCATTTGAGATGGCTGCACTGAAGTTAAGTGGTTTTTAGCAGTAACGTCTCCTTCATGGATCACTGCCTTGCCGTGGCGAAGGGGCTTGAATAACTCAGAGAAGCTATGAGCTATGCCGTGCAGGGCCACCCAAGATGGGCAGGTCATAGTGGAGAGTTTTGACCAAACGTGATCCACCTGGAGCAGGAACTGGCAAGCCACTCCAGTATCCCTGCCAAGAAAACTCCATGGACAAAGACAACAGGCATATAAAAGTTATGACGCTGGAAGATGAGCCCCTCAGGTCGGAAGGTGTCCAACATGCTACTGGGGAAGAGCGGAGGACAAGTACAAGTAGATCCAGAGCTGATGAAGCGGCTGGGCCAAAGCCGAAAGGACGCTCAGTTGCGGATATGCCTGGAAGCGAAAGGAAAGTCCAATGCTGTAAAGAAAAATATTGCATAGGAACCTGGAATGTAAGAACCATGAACCTGGGTAAGTTGGATGTGGTCAAAAATGAGATGGCAAGAATAAATATTGACATCTTGGGCATCAGTGAACTAAAATGGACGGGAATGGGCGAATTCAGTTCGGATGACTATCATATCTACTACTGTGGACAAGAAACCCGTAAAAGAAATGGAGTGGCCCTCATAGTCAACAAAAGAGTGGCGAAAGCTGTACTGGGATGCAATCTCAAAAATGATAGAATGATCTCAATACGAATCCAAGGCAGACCTTTTAACATCACAGTAATCCAAGTTTATGCACCAACTACTGGAGCTGAAGAAACTGAAATTGACCAATTCTATGAAGACTTACAAGACCTTATAGAAGTGGCACCAAAGAAGGATGTTCTTCTCATTATAGGGGATTGGAATGCTAAAGTAGGGAGTCAAGAGATAAAAGGAACAACTGGCAAGTTTGGCCTTGGAGTTCAAAACGAAGCAGGGCAAAGGCTAATAGAGTTCTGTCAAGAGAACAAGCTGGTCATCACAAACACGCTTTTCCAACAACACAAGAGACGACTCTACACATGGACATCACCAGATGGGCAGCATCGAAATCAGATTGATTATATTCTCTGCAGCCAAAGATGGAGAAGCTCTGTACAGTCAGCAAAAACAAGACCTGGAGCTGACTGTGGCTCAGATCATCAGCTTCTTATAGCAAAATTCAAGCTTAAACTGAAGAAAGTAGGAAAAACCACTGGGCCGGTAAGATACAATCTAAGTCAAATCCCTTATGAATACACAGTGGAAGTGAGGAACAGGTTTAAGGATTTAGATTTGGTGGACAGAGTGCCTGAAGAACTATGGATGGAGGCTCGTAACATTATACAAGAGGCAGCAACTAAAACCATCCCAATGAAAAGGAAATGCAAGAAAGCAAAGTGGCTGTCCAACGAGGCCTTAGAAATAGCAGAGGAGAGAAGGCAAGCAAAATGCGAGGGAGATTGTGAAAGATACAGGAAATTGAATGCAGATTTCCAAAAAATAGCAAGGAGAGACAAGAAGGCCTTCTTAAACGAGCAATGCAAAGAAATAGAGGAAAACAATAGAATGGGAAAAACCAGAGATCTGTTCAAGAAAATTGGAGATATGAAAGGAACATTTTGTACAAAGATTTCCATAATAAAAGACAAAAGTGGAAAGGACCTAACAGAAGCAGAAGACATCAAGAAGAGGTGGCAAGAATACACAGAGGAACTATACCAGAAAGAAATTGATGTCTCATATACCCCAGGTAGTGTGGTTGCTGACCTTGAGCCAGACATCCTGGAAAGTGAAGTCAAATGGGCCTTAGAAAGCATTGCTAATAACAAGGCCAGTGGAAGTGATGATATTCCAGCTGAATTATTTAAAATTTTAAAAGATGATGCTGTTAAGGTGCCACACTCAATATGCCAGCAAATTTGGAAAACTCAGCAGTGGCCAGAAGATTGGAGAAGATCAGTCTACATCCCAATCCCAAAGAAGGGAAGTGCCAAAGAATGCTCCAACTACCACACAATTGCACTCATTTCACACGCTAGCAAGGTTATGCTTAAAATTCTACAAGGAAGGCTCAAGCAGTATGTGGACCGAGAACTCCCAGAAGTGCAAGCTGGATTTAGAAGAGGCAGAGGAACCAGAGACCAAATTGCAAACATGCGCTGGATTATGGAGAAAGCTAGAGAGTTCCAGAAAGACATCTACTTCTGCTTCATTGACTATGCAAAAGCCTTTGACAGTGTCGACCACAGCAAACTATGGCAAGTTCTTAAAGAAATGGGAGTGCCTGATCACCTCATCTGTCTCCTGAGAAATCTCTATGTGGGACAAGAAGCTACAGTTAGAACTGGATACGGAACAACTGATTGGTTCAAAATTGGGAAAGGAGTACGACAAGGCTGTATATTGTCCCCCTGCTTATTTAACTTATATGCAGAATTCATCATGCGAAAGGCTGGGCTGGATGAATCCCAAGCCGGAATTAAGATCGCCGGAAGAAATATCAACAACCTCAGATATGCAGATGACACAACCTTGATGGCAGAAAGTGAGGAGGAATTAAAGAACCTTTTAATGAGGGTGAAAGAGGAGAGTGCAAAATATGGTCTGAAGCTCAACATCAAAAAAACGAAGATCATGGCCACTGGTCCCATCACCTCCTGGCAAATAGAAGGGGAAGAAATGGAGGCAGTGAGAGATTTTATTTTCTTGGGCTCCATGATCACTGCAGATGGTGACAGCAGTCACGAAATTAAAAGACGCCTGCTCCTTGGGAGAAAGGCGATGGCAAATCTAGACAACATCTTAAAAAGTAGAGACATCACCTTACCAACAAAGGTCCGTATAGTTAAAGCCATGGTTTTCCCAGTAGTGATGTATGGAAGTGAGAGCTGGACCATAAAGAAGGCTGATCGCCGAAGAATTGGATGCTTTTGAATTATGGTGCTGGAGGAGACTCTTGAGAGTCCCATGGACTGCAAGAAGATCAAATGCATCCATTCTTAAGGAAATCAGACCTGAGTGTTCACTGGAAGGACAGATCGTGAAGTTGAGGCTCCAATACTTTGGCCACCTCATGAGAAGAGAAGACTCCCTGGAAAAGACCCTGATGTTGGGAAAGATGGAGGGCACAAGGAGAAGGGGGCGACAGAGGATGAGATGGTTGGATAGTGTTCTCGAAGCTACAAACATGAGTCTGACCAAACTGCGGGAGGCGGTGGAAGACAGGAGTGCCTGGCGTGCTCTGGTCCATGGGGTCACGAAGAGTCGGACACGACTAAACGACTAAACAACAACAACAAGCAGTAATGTTATAAAGATGTGCAAAAATGGATTGTTAACAGGTGATAATCTAAAGTTATAATATATTAAGATTAAAGATTAGGATAAAAACAAAGAGGGAAAGGATTTGCTGAACCAACTAATTGAACTGGATACAAAAAAGGGAGGTGTGAGGAGGTCTGGGGAACAAGTAAATGAAAGATAAGATATGGAAAGATTGAATTGTTTTTAACTGTTTTTACTTTGTATTTTTTCTTTTTCTTTTTGTAACATTTTGAAAACTTTAATAAAAATCTTTAAAAATATAATAATGAGATGGCTGCACTGAGGGGTGTTGGAACCCCTAATGGGCGGGCTGGTTCTTTCCCTGTTCTTCCTTGTTAAAATTTGCTACTAAAAATAATTTAATGAAAACAGGGGGCTCTGAGCAGAGAAAGTGGAGAATCGGGGGGGGGGGCTTCCTTGCTCTTTGGGCCTCCAAGGGGGGCTCTGGAGCACACGGAACGGCAAGATTCGCAGAGTAACTCCTAGGCTTCCCAACCACGGTGTTCCCAGGGGAGGGCTCCACACACAGCCCTGCAAGCCTCTACCTTGGAAATGAAGACCCCCGGCTCATGGATCCCAAAGGGGTGGCTGGAGTGGTCGCTGCCGCCCACAATGCTGAGCCCCAGCGGCCCCCCCGCTTTGACCAGGATCACCTCCTGCGGGCAGAAAGCAAGAAAGCCAAGCCAGGGTCAAGAGAGGGCCTCATGGAGGAGGAGATGCCGGGACCCGACTCCAGGCCAGGGGGAGAAAGAGGCTGGAGGGACCCACATCCAAAGGGGAGCTGGCGGAAACCAGGGTGACCAGGGCACTTCCCAGGGTGGTTGGGGGCCAGACTCCCATGGGGGGGCTCCCCATGCCAGCAGCTTCCCCCGGGGACAGGCAGACAGACAGTGCCCCCCATGCCCTTCACCTACCTCCGTGGGGTACTGGCTCTCCAGGCTCTGGGCGGGGTGGCTCCTGTGGGGCAGGGGCGTCTCCTCAGGTGGGCTCTCCCCGCGGGTGGGGGTCGGTGGTGGCGGAGAGTGTGCCCGCTGTGCCCGCTGCCCCAAGGGCAGGTCTTCCTCGCTGGGCTGGGTGGCGGCGATGGGGGCAGCGGGCACAGCCTCTCTCTCTACCAGCAGCGCAATGGTGGGGGAGGCGGCGGTAAGCAGCGCTACGGCCTGATCATGCCTGGCTTCCGTCATGTCTACCCCATTGATCTAGAACGGCCCCAAACCAGCGTCAAAGGGGGAGGCAGGGAGGGCATGCACACAGGGCCCCAATCCCAGGCCTGGGACCAGAGGCAAGGGACCCCAGCCTCGGCAGGCGGAAGGGGGCTGGGAGGGCAAGGCGTCCCCCCCCCCCGCCAGATCAAGGCAAACAGCAGCTCAGGACAGGGGGCCAAGGAGCACCAGCTCTTTTCCTGCCCTCGTCCCCAAAGAAAGGGGGGCAGAAGAGGTGTGGGGCAAAGTGTACATCACCCAGCAGAGGGCAAAGGAGAGAGAGGGAGGCAGACAGACAGGCAGACGGAAGCCAGCACTGACGAGGCCGTCTCGGGGCTTACCCCCCCATCCTCTCTCATCACGGCTGCTGAGCAGAGATCGGCTGCGCCTCGGGAGGGGGCAGAGAAACAGGCCACAAGGAGGAAGAGGAAGAGGAGTAGCAGGAGAGGGAGGGAGGGAGGGAGGGAGGGAAAGAGCTTCAGAACAAAATGGCTGGCCCCCCACCTGCCGTGCCACCCACCCGGAGTTCCAGAAAGGTGACTCCAACATCACCCCCTCCAAAACACAGCCCACTTCCCCCCTGGCTAGACTCAGCCCCACCCTGAAGGGGCAAGCAGGGGCAAGCAGGGGGGACCCCAGAGCCTCCTGAAGGAACCTTGCCTGGTCCCCAGGCAGCCCCCAAGAGAGACCACTCACCAAGATGACCCTGTCGCCCACACAGAGGGTCCCGTCCCGATGGGCTGCGCCCCCCTCTGCAATCCGTGAGATGAAGATCCCCTGGGGGGAAAGGAAAGTCAGGGCCCCTCCCTGCAGAGCCCCCTGCTCCTCTGTCACCAGGCACGGCAAGGGCCCCTCTGTCCCTCCGTCCCGGGAGCATGAAGTGCCCCCGTCAGCGAGGAGCCAGGAATAAGCGCAGAGGCTGGGATCGGGTGTCGCCGAAGCCCCTGCCAGGCGGCTGCCGGCCAGAGAGAGGCGGTCCCCCTCCCTCCTCCCTCCCTCCCCTCCTCACCGTGTCCCCCGGCCGGTAGGGTGTGGAGCCCTTGCCGCCAGCGATGCTGAAGCCCAGCCCCCGCTCGTTGCGCATGAGGCAGGTGGAGAGGCGCTCCGTCAGGGGGGCTCCCTCAGGCCTCTCTGGGAAGCGCAGGCCCACCCCCCGCCGCTCCCGGGGGCTGTAGTCGTCCTCTGGCCGCAGGGGGGTCACCGTGACGGCGTTCTCCGGCTCCACCATCCGCTCTCGCAGAACCGTCATGGAGACCGTGCTGCCCGAGCCACGCAGAGCCTCCACCGCCACGTGGTGCTCCGCGCACTGCAGAGGCACCCCGTTCACCTGCCGGGGGCGCAAAAGAGGGGGCTGGCTCAGGCAAGCGCCCGGCCAGAGACCGGCTGCAGAGGGCCCCCCGGCCCCCTCCGGAGAGCCCCAAGGGGAGCCTGGCACTGCTTTGGTAGGCAGGCAGCCCCCTCCCATGGCAGTCTGGCAAGGGCCATCTTCTCCTCCCCCTCTGCAGGGCAACGCAGAAGCAAATGCCCACCTAGAGCTGCGAGGGAGCCTGGGCTGCTGCTGGCAATTCCAGCATGTACTTATTCTGACTGGTGACTCAGGCCTCAGGCAGGCAGGCAGAGACCAGCCACGGGCAGGAGGCCAAGCGTGCTGGAGGGCAAGGGAGACGCCATGGGACCTGGGGGGCAGCTTGGCCTGGAAGGGGCTGAGCAAGGCCTTCTACGCCCAGGACAGGGCCTGCCAAAAAGGGGGCGGCAGGGAGGGAGCAGCTGTCTCCTCCCCAACCCACCTAAGGGGGCTCAACGACTCACCTCCAGCAGCTTGTCCCCCACCCGCACCCCTGCCTGGGCAGCCGGACCCTCCTCAGAGACGCGGGAGATGAAGATGCCCTGCAAAGAGAGGGGAGCAGTCAGGGGGGCTTCCTGGGCAGTGGCAGCTCAGCAGCCTGACTCGGCTCCCCAAGTCAGCCACTCCAGCCAAAACGGCCACTCCTTTCCCTGCCCCACAGCTGCCCCAGGTCAAGGGGACCCCCAAACCCCAAGGGGAAAGACTCCCTGTTGCAGCTGCCCGTACCTCGTCGTCTCCCTTGTAGGGGGTGGAGCCTTTGCCCCCCGCAATGCTGATGCCCAGCCCCCCCGTCTGCCGCACAATGCTCAGGGTCAGCTGGAAGCAAAAGGGGGCAATGTTAGGGGAGACACAGCAGCAAAGACATACAGAACGAGGGGGGGCACCATGGACCAGGGTCTGAGCCCATAATGAGGGGTGAGGAAGCAGCCCCCCCCCAGCATCTCCTTTGGGTGCCCACAAGACCTGCAATCCACCCCTGGACCAAGTGGCCAATTCACCACCTATGTGGGAGGGGGCTCCCATACGTCTCACCAGATCCCAGGTCCCCTGAAATCTCTCCCACTGCCAGCCACTCACCCCCCACCCCCCCTGCCTGAAGAGGAGAAATCTGTGTCTGTCTTGCAGCGCAAGGCCAACCGAGACCCTCAGGGGGCCCCTCACCCAGACAGGCCTGAGGTCTCTTGCTTTTCTCCACCCCACCAGCTCTGCTACCGGGGGGGGGGGGTCCCTTGCTTTTGCCAAGGAAAGGCCACAGAGCAAGGGCTCAGGCCCCAGGAGAGCCGGGGGGTAATGCCAAAGCCCTCCGGCTAGCGTGGCAGAGCCTTGTGCAAAGAGGGTTGGGGGAAGCCTCTGGCCACATTCTGGGCAAGCAACGTGAGCTCCCCCTTGGTACAAACCAGGTGGCCCTTGGACACTTTCCACCCACCCCTCAGACTCCCCACCTCAGCAGGCAAGAGGCGTGAGCAGAGGTCCAGCAGGCCAAAAGCTCACGGAGGGAGCCAAGCAGGGTATGTGCGTGTGGGGTGCCCAGGGGAGAAAAAGGCCCTGGAGGCGTCTGAGGGCCCCCCCCCACTCAAGCAGAGGGGCATGGGGGCCGAGAGGCAGCCTTAGGGGACAGAGCAGCAGCAGCCAGGCATTTGCCAAACCGGCCAAGCTGGGCTGACTTTAGCAGCCCAAAGTGCTCAGGGGAGATGGGGCCCAGTGGCAGCTCTGCCTCCTCTAGCGGGGACCCTGAAGACCCTCTGGAGAGGGAGGAGAGGGAGGCCCTGGCGCAAGGCCCACCCCCAGGCCCCTCCTCTCTGGGGAGCTCAGGGGCCCCGGCTGCGCTGAGGCTGCTCTGCTGAGGAGAAGCAGCTGTAGAGTCTCTTTCTGGGCTTGCCAAAGGCCTCTGGCAGGGACACCTCTATCCAGGACGGAGTGTGCCAAGGAAAGCACCCCCCCCCCGGGAGCATTTGGCTGGCTCAGGGGGCTGGGAGGGCTGCCCCAGACTCCTGCTGGGGAGAAGAGAGCTCGTCTCAGGCCAAAGCACCAGTCTGCAGCCAAGACAGCCCTCAGCTGCTCCAGGTGCCAGGCTCCACAGCCAGCTGCCTCTTTTCCTCACCTTTCTCCCTCATAGGCATGGACTAAAGCCCCGCATCACCCCCCCCCCCAAAGTTCAGGTGTGGGAAGACAAGAGGGGAGGAGAGAAGCTGCCACCACAGTGCAGAGAGGGGCAGCCCCTGCAAGCCCCAGGGAAAGGGGGTGGGGGGGAGAGACGTGGGGGGGGGGAGGCAGTACAGACCTCTTCCTCCTCAATGCGAGCAGGCTCAATCAGCAGATTATTGGCTTGGTCAAACGACACCCCCTGTTAGGACAGGAACCAGCAGAGAGGCATGCGGATTAGTGGGGGGGAGGGCCGGGTGGACCGCCACCGGGTGGGGGGGGACACAGACAGAGGGAGGGAGGGAGAGGCAGAGGGGCAGGCCCCACCCGAGCATCCAGGAGCCCCAGCACCAGAGAGAGAGAAAGAGAGAGAGAGAGAGAGAGAGAGAGAGAGAGAGCTGCCCCCCAGGCCCCTACCTTGACGGAGGAGGGTGGGGCAGGTGCAGCCCCATCCTGGGCTTGGTCTCCATCCCACCTGGCCTCCTCCTCCTCCTCCTCCTCCTCCTCTTCTTCCTCCTCCTCCACGGGGGCGGCCTCCTTCTCCTGGGGCCCCCCCTCAGCACTCAGCCCCTGCAAAAGGGCCACCACTGCCTCTGGCCGGGGCAGCTGGGCGATCCTGAAGTGCTTCTTGTAGTGGGGGGTGTCTTTGCGGATGAGCCGCTGCTTCCCTGCTGGGAACGGGTGCTCTTCCTCCCCCTCCTCTTCCTCCTCGCTGCGCACCAGTGTGTCTTCTGCAAAGTGCACCGTGGGCTGCAGGGAAAACACCCCCATCGGGGGGGGGCTCTCAATACAAGCCGGTCAGGCAGCCTCTTCTGCAGGTACCTATTCCCCTCCCCTCCGGAAGAAAAGCCTGTTGGATTGGCCCACAGGGGACCCCCAACCAGGTGCCTCTTGGGGCAGCTGCGAGCTGGACCTGAGCGCCACAGCCCCTCTGCCCCCTCCAGCCCCTGGCCTTCAGGGCTGCCTCCGGCTGGGGGGACTGAGCAGAGCCATCCTGGCTGGCAGCCCCCAGAGCCTCCTCCGGCCGGAGCCTCTTTTAAAACCCTCTAGGCTGGTGCTTTCCCTGGCTCCTGTGGGAGAGAGTTCCATAGTTGAACGATGTGCTTCGTGAAGAAGTTCTTCCTTCTATCCGTCCTGAACCTTCCAACTCTGGGCTTCACTGGATGTCCCCCAGCTCCAGAGTAGCGAGAGGGAGGAAAACTGCCCTCTCTCCATTTCCCCATTCCAGACCTGTTTTCATAAACGTCTACCATGGCACCTCTGATTTGCCTTTTCATAGGGGAATTGCTTCATCCCCCTGATCCTTGGGGTGCCCCTTTCTGACCTTTGCCATCTCTACAATATCCCTTTTGAGGTGAGCTGACCAGAGCTGTGTCCGCCTGGGTGTGTTGGGGCGGCTCTCTGGGGCAAAGGCCTGGCAGGGCTTCTCACGTGGCTGCCAGCTCTCTCTTATTGCAAGGCCTGCCATCTTTGCTGGGCTCTTCTGCACACAAATTTGGGGGTCTGCCAAACAGGCAAGCCTCTCCCTTCTGAAGAGAGCAGGGGAGCCCTCATTAAGCCGTCCTGCCCCTTGCAGGGCTGAGGTGCAGATTTGAAAACAGCACACACCCCATTTCTACTGAGCTCCGCCTGCTCTGAGTGCCCTGGGGGAGCCACAGCGGGAAGGCCCCTGGGGGAGAGGGAGGCCCCCCCTTCTGCCATTAAACAAACCTGAGGAACAGAGAGAGCCTTAATCTCAAATCCCAGAGATTAGTTTCCTACCATGGGTCAGGCCAAAGGGCCCCCCTCTAGTCCAGCCAGCCAGGTGCCCCCTACGCAGCCCCCCCCCCCGTACCAGCATTCAGAATGAGACAGCCCCAACAGCGGAGGCAGAACAAAGCGGCTTTGCTGAGCCAATTGACGGAGAAGAGGGTTCTCCATGGGCAGAGGCAGCAATGGGCCTGAATGCCTCTGGCTGGGAACCACAGGAGGCGAGAACTGCTCTTGCGCTCGACTCTGGTTCACTGGCTTCCCATAATGGGCAGCTGGTTGGCCACTGTGAGAGCAGGACGAGATGGGCCCCTGGCCTGGTCCAGCAGGTTCTTATTACGGTCTTACGACCCTCCTGCTATGACAAGCTCCATTGTTCAGCTGTGCACCCTGCGCAGCCTCCCAGTGACACAAGACCCTGCTGCTGCAGGACACAGGAAAGGCCTCTGAAGGACGCAGATCCCACAGGGGCCACATCCTGAAGAAGCCTATCCTGGGGGAAGCCACTGGGCAGGTGAAGTTCTGTCCTTTGAGGAGGGTCTTCAGCCTGGCCCAGTGGGGCTCTCCTTTCATTTCCCAACCTGCTTTCTGGTGCTGACCAGCCCCTGCACAACCTCTCTGGGGGTCTCCTCATCAGCACCACCAGGTATACTCCATCACCTGCTCTGCCTTGTGCCAACAGATTTTCCTCAGTCAAGTTTCTTTTGAAACTGCAGGTGCAACACCCTTAAATGAAGCCCCTAAGCTCCCCCCCCCTCGATCCTCTTGGGATCCTCTGCTCCAAAGCAGCGCTCAAAGCCCCCTCCCAGGGAGCTGGCCTGGGCTGCGGCCAAGCCTGTTTCAAGCAGCCCAGGGCTAACAGCAGGTGGGGCATCTCCAGGGGGACCTGGGCAGCCCCAGGCACCAGGCAGCAAGGGTTGCCCTCTGGTCTTACTCCACCACATCCAATGCATCTGGCTTGGATTCTTATTTTTTATGTCTTAAATGTGTTTTTATTGCCTAATCACCTGTTTGCCACTGTGGGTCCTTGAGAGGAATGGGGGTGCCCTACATTAAAACTGGTTTAAATTAAAGTGAGGAGTTTTTATTGCACATAAGTATTCACAAAGGTAGCAAGACACTCCTCCGCGGCCCCTGGGCCAACATGTGAAATAAATCCAGAGTGCAAGGCTTTCCGTGGCTCCTTTGACCCCCCCCCCTCCGCCTCTTTGCTCTGGCTATTTGGACACGGCAAAACAGGGTTCATAGAACTGAAGGGTTGGAAGGAACCCCAGGGCTCATCGAATCCAGCCCCTTGCAGTGCAAAACACTCATAAGCAAGAAAAATGCCTTGCCACTGAATTCACACAGCAAAAACATTTAATGAGGGTCCTCCATACACAACCAAGTGAAAGAAAAATTCCTCAACGTGGCAGCAACATGCCCAACGAGTGATGATGCCACCCCCTGCCACCTTCTGTGTAGAACAGAACCCCATCCATTGACCTGGCCTCCCCAGCCCCTAAGAAGCTGAGTCCCTTCATGGTGCCAACAGCCTTCCAGTTCCCCAGGAGGGGTCCTGGATGTGCCCTTCACCAGGCAAGAGGCGGGCAGATCTCCCTCCCCCAGCCCCTTGGCCAAAGGCTGCCCTGCGGGACAAATGGGGCTGCAGGGACCTAGGGAACACCCCTGCCCCCACTTCCTAACATGGCCACCAACACCATGGCATCCTTGGGCAGCCCCCCCAGCAGGGTCTCTCTTCTTCCCTTCCTCAGCCGGGCTCAGCTCCCCACTCCCTGCTGCTGCTTCCCAGAACAAGGCAGGGTCCGACTTTGGCCCAAGATGTTGCCACAGAAGAAGCTCCCAGAGGCTCACTGTACCTCATTGTACTCCAGCTCCTCCTCCTCCTCAGGGCCAGCTGGGGCTTCCTCCACAGCCGCCCCGGCCTCCTGCTGTTGCCGCCGCCGCCACCAGCCTTCCTGCTCCTCCTGCTCCTCTTCCTGCCCCTCAGGGGCCCTCACTGCCTCTTCTGGCCTTGAGGCCTCCCGCAGGTGCTTCGCTGCTGCTGCTGCCACCACCGCCTCCTGGCAGCTGGCAGAGATGGTGCTGCTGGAGACCCGTGAGTCTTCACTGCGGTTGGAGGTGGCACTCAGCCTCTTCTCCTGAGGGGCAGGATGCGGAACGAGTCAGCGAGGGCACAAGACAGCCGCACTGCCTGGCACCCAGCGCCTGTGCCCCTGTGCAGGGTGGGCCTGCCGCCCCAAAGGCCACAGCTGGGCCAGGCCAGGCCACCCCCCTTGCCCCATTCAGAGCCCTCCAGCCCTAGATGGGCCTGCAGCAAGTCTGCAGAAGGGGCTCATGTCACCAGCTCCACCAGTGCAAACCTCCCTCCGAGGAAGCCTTGTCCAGGCCCACTGCCCGGTCCCGCTCCGTGCCTCCCTCTCCCCCTCCTGCAACATTTTATATGATGGACACTGCCCAGAGCCCACCCCACACCCCCTCACCTCTGAACTGGAAGAATCCCGCTGGGTCTCCCGTTTGGCAGCAGATGCCTCGCTGCGGCGCCCTTCCATCACCTTCTTCATGGACTTCAGCTCACTTGGGTGGGGAGTTGCCCTTCGCTGCAGGCCCTGTGAGCAGGAGCGGGGTTAGAGGCGGGGCAAAACTCCCCCACCACCTACAGGCCCCCAAGCAACTGCAGAGGCCAGGCTCAGCTGCAGCAGCAGCAGCAGCAGCAGCGACAGGGCAAACACAGGACAGAGGTGTCAGCGCTCACTTGCCCTCCTCCCCCATTTCCCAGCTCTGCTCCCAGGAGGAACCACACAAGGCAGGAGCACAAGCCCAGCCAGCCTGACAAGCCAAGAGCAGCCCTGCAGAGCCCCCCCCACTCCAGTGGCGTAGCGTGGGGGGTGCAGGGGGGGCCGGCCGCACCGGGCGCAACATCTGGGGGTTAGGGTTAGGGGGCGCAAATCCACGGGTTAGGGGGCGCAAATTACTTGCCTTGCCCCGGGTGCTGACAACCCACGCTACACCACTGCCCCACTCCCACTCCGGGCTCCAGAAGGACAGGGCAGGTGATGGGCACCCCCAGCTCCCAACCCCACAGCCACATCTGACAGCCCAATCCAGGCTTGGGGAGGACAGTCCTTCAGCAGGGAAACGGCCCCCATCCCCACCCCCTTACCCTCCTCTCGGCCCCCGGCTCCTCATCCTCATCCAACTTGGGCTCATCCACAAACTGGATCACGCTGACGCGGTTGAGGTTGGTGTCCATCCAGCTGTCATCCAGGCTGTTCTGCAGGTTCTCTGCGGGAGGAGAGCAGAGTCAGGGATCCTGTTGCAGGCGGGACGGCCCCAGCCAGGGGGGTCCCAGCCCAGGCAAGCCTGGCCGGGGGTGGGGCAGGGAGCAGCATTTACCCAGGCTGGGCGACGGCTGCTGCGGGAGGAGGTAGCAGGTGAGCACTTTCTCCCCGGTCTTCTCGTCATCCTCCGCCTGGAACTTGAGCATGGGCTGCGACTGGTTCTCTGCCAGCCAGAGCGCCTTCAGGTTGAGATTGGTCAGGGCAAAGGGCAGGTGCTGCAGCCTGTGCCAGAAGGAGGAAGGGAAGAAGGATGAGGCCCCCTACCCAGAAGGCCCAGGCCCAGCCCTCCAGAGGGCTCACGGGAACCTGGCCCAGCCCCCTCTCTCCCTCTGCGCCTGCTTCCTTCCAAGGGACCCTGCACTGAGCCCACCGTGCAAGATCCAGAAGAGAGTCTGCAAAAGGGAGAGGACCACAAGAGGAGCCAACTCTTGCAAGCTTTTCTAAGCCACCTTTCAAGACAACAGGTTTCCAGCAACATGCAATTTCATTTCTCCTGGCACCTTCATTCTACACCTTTAGGCGCCAGGCAAAAACATTACGTTTTAACCAGGCCTTTGGTTGATTTGATTGACATCCTATGCCCTTTTAAAATGTGAGGGTTTTGCAGGGGGGGGTATTGGTTTGTTGTTGTTTTGATTATGTATTTTGTGATTTTATATTGTGATTTTATTCTGTGAACAGCTCTGAGACCTTTGGTTTTAGGGCGGTATATAAATTCAATAAATGAGTAAAATAAAATTAATTTCTAACACTACCACCACAAATAGAACAACCACTTTAAAGTAAAGCAGCCACATGAAAATGAAAATGATTTACAAGTGGTACATGACACCAGTCAAGCTTGAAAAAATTTACCATTTGCCCGACAATAAATGTTGGAAATGTAATGAGACTGAAGGTACATTCTTTCACCTTGGGGACATGCCCAAGGATTAAGAACTTCTGGGAGATGATTTATAATGAAATGAAAAAGGTATTTAAATATACCTTCCTAAAGAAACCAGAGGCCTTTCTCCTGGGCATGGTGGGCCAATTGGTGCCAAAGAAGGATAGAACTTTCTTTATGTATGCTACAACAGCAGCAAGAATACTCATCGCAAAGCACTGGAAGACACAAGATCTACCCACCCGGGAAGAGTGGCAGATGAAGTTGATGGACTATATGGAACTGACGGAAATGACTGGCAGAATCTGAGACCAGGGAGAAGAGTCGGTGGAAGAAGATTGGAAAAAATTCAAAGTATATTTACGGAAATACTGTAAAATTAATGAATGTTAGAAGGATGCTGGAATGAAGCTACATGGTTTTAGCAGAAATGTTATAAAGAACTAAGTAAAAATAGATTGTCAATGGGCCAAAGTGTAAAATTTAAGGTCAGAATGTGTTAAGATATATTATAGAACAAAAATTGAGAAAGATGGAAAGGATTTGCTGAAATAACTAATTGAACTAGAATACAAAAAAGGGAGGTGTGAGGAGGTCGATGAAACAAGTAAATGAAAGGTAAAAATACGGAAATATTGGATGTGTTTTTTTTGTTTTTCTTATTGTTTTGCTGTATTGTTTTCTGTTTTTCTTTTTATTTTTGTTGTACTGTAACTTTTTATTGTCTTTCTTCCCCCCCTTTTTTTTGTAACTATTAAACTTCTAATAAATATCTTTTTTTAAAAAAAATAAAGTAAAGAAGCCACAGTAAAATACGATTCAAGACACAAGGCTAGACTGTTGACTATCCATGCGTTTCTTGAGACTCTCAAGGGAGGTTAGTGAGAGGAGACTTAACTTTACAGAAAGAAGCCTTCCTGACTCTGCTTCCAGAAGAACTGATTTTCTATACATTGAAGGATTATATCCAGTACATTTCCACCAGTATTCCTGGCAGATATGTTAGGCTAACCAATCTGTAATACCCCAGAGCCCCTCTTTTTTCCTTAACCCCCCCCCAAAGGTGTTGCTACACCGACTACTTTCCAGCCCTCATGTGTGGAGGTTGATCTGAGGGCCAAGTTCCTTTTTACCATTAGCAAACCAGCAATTTCACATTTGAGCTCTTGAGCAATGGCACAGTGAATTGAAAAGGTCTGGCTGCTGAGTTCTTGAAAGGCAAAATGGGACTTCTGGGAGACTGCTCAGTACTTGCCAAGACCAGCAAAAGCAGAATCAGGACAAGAGAAAAACAGCCCTCCGCCACACACACACACACACACGGGAGAGGAAGAGAGGATCTTCTGCATGGCCATTGACTCTGCTCACACCTCCTTTGCAGCTGCAGAGTCCAGTTGCATCTGGCCAAGGAGCCCACAGGTGAACCAAAGCCCAGAGCAGAAGCCCCAAAGAGACACCTGTCTGCACACCTTCAGGGTGCCCCCCCCTGCCAAGAGGGGAGGAGGGACTGTGAGGCTGTGGGACCTGACTTGTGCAGCTGTTTTGCCAGCGAGGCATGCCTGCTTATCGCCTTTCTGGCACCTGGCAAAGTTTTCCATTTGCCCTGGCCTTTGAGTTCTGATAATACTTTATGACTGATCTTTGTATTGTAGGTGAGAGATGGGGTGGAAATTGTGGGTGGAATTCAGTGGGGCTCTGGGACCAGCATTTGTGCAGCACAAGCGCTGCTGCCCCTCTTGCCCCAGCCCCGAGCCCACTGGTAGGTGGGACAGAGGGAGAGGAGAGGGCACGCAAGGTTATTCACAAGGCTGAAGGAATGGAAGTTCTGGACTCTTAAAATCTCTTCCCCCCTATAGCAGGAGTGGGGAACATTCCGGGGTGAGGGGAGGCCCCAGACGCTGTGGGTCTCCTGCCCGCCCCCCAGGCCTGGTGGCCACAGAGCTGCAGAGCTTCCTCTCTGTCCCAGCCCAAGGCACCGATGCGCAGCTGAGAGCCCAGAGGCCCAGCACACCCAGCGCACTCGCTCACCTGTTGCCAGCCACGTCCAGCACGTGCAGCTCCACGGTGCCGGCCAGCTCAGGAGGCAGGAACTCCAGGCAGTTGTCCCGCAGGGAGAGCACGTTGAGGCTGCTGCAGCCCCCAATCTCGGGGGGAAGCGCCATCAGCCGGTTCCGGTCCACATTCAGGTTGGTCAGTTTGGTGAGCTTCCCTAGGGCCTTGGGCAGCATCTGAGAAAAAGCCTCCGGAGTCAGAAAGGGGAATCCCAGCTCACATGGCACCCAAGGAACACCAGCTGCCCCTGGGGCCACCCACCCCCCAGCCAAGACCCCAGGGAGAAAAGCCAGCTGACCAGGCGAGGGCTGAGCACACTCACCGTCAGCATGTTCTCTGTCAGGATGAGCTCTGACAGGTTTTCACAGTCCCCAATGGCCTCCGTCACCTCCCCCAGCCGGTTCTGGTCCACTTTCAGGATGGAGAGCTGCTTCAGCTGGCCTGGGCAAAGGGCAAGAGCGCCATGGGCCACACTGCACCGGGGGGGGGGGCTACACACCCACCCACCCACCCCAGACAAGGAGGTCCAGGCACAGATCCAAATCCAGCTTCCCACTGGCACATCCCAAACAATTCTGCATACCAACTGGTTATTCAAACATTTGCCAACAGCTAATTACTTCTAACAGCTTTAGCAAAAGTGACATGGTGTGCCGCTTGCCAAAGAAGGGCCTCAGCACCTTTTGCACGAGTGAGAATCCAGGCCCAGTAGTGCCTGGGGAGGGCAGCCTCTCTCCAGCAGATGAGGAGAAAAGGCCCCCCTGAGGAAGCCTCAGACTACTGAAGGAGGACGCAGGATCACCCAGGCTGGTCTGCCAAAGGGATCTCTCTGCTGACAGTGACTCTTCTGCAAGAGCAGCCCCCCCCCATTTCTCTTTTAGTCTCCTCTGCACTGTCTCTCCCCCCTCCCCAGTCATTCCATTGGTGGGAGCCAAATCATCAGCTGAGCAACATCACTGGGTGCAACGCAAAGGGAGAACATTGGATGGTCTCAATACTGGATGGTGCCTCCTCCAGGCAGGGCCCAGCACAGTGGGGGGGCTTGCCAACCCCAGGTCCACAGGATCCACCCAATAACCACCTGGCACATGGCCTCCCGTGCCAGACGTGTAATACTGGGCCTCAAAGACAGGTACCGTATTTTTCTGTGTATAAGACGACCCCTATTTTTTTTTTAACCCAAAATTAAGTTGCTTAACTTTTTTGGGGGGTGGGGAAGGTCACTTCCACCAATCGCTCACCTGCCTGCCCGCCACTGCCAATCACTTGCCACAGCCACTGCCAATCGCACACCTCACCGCAGCTGCCAATTGTCTGCCTGCTCGCACCATCAACAGCCCACCTGCCCACTTGCTGCAGCCGCCAATCACCTGCCCAACTGCCACTGCCAATCTCCCGCTTGCTGCTGCCATTGATTGCACATCCCCCCCTCTGCATTCACTATCCATGTATAAGACAACACCCAATTTTTGCCCACATTTTTTTAAAGCAAAAAGCATCATCTTATACATGGGGAAATATGCTATGTTCCTCCTGCTGCCTCAACTACTGAGAAGTGTAGCCAGAGAAGAGCGACCTTCTGCGCCTGAGCTGCTTTTTGTTTCCTGAGTCAGATTTGTCTGCCCTCTCCCCACAGCACCCCCACCCAAGAGTAGGTAACTCTTCCCATGTTCCCCAGGAGGCGCCCGCATCCCAATGGGGCCTCCCCCCCCCCCACTCACCAATCCCATCCGGAATGGACTGCAGCAGGTTCTGCGAGAGCAGCAGGTCTGTCAGGGCGACCAGCCCACTGACCTCGCCCGGCAGCTGCTCCAGCTTGTTCTCAGAAACATCCAGGCACACCAGGCGGCGCAGATTGCCCAGCTCCTGCGAGGGAAGACCAGCAGGGTGGGCGGGCGGAGTCCTGCAGGGACTGATTGATGCCTGCCCCGCGGGGCCCTTCCTCTCCCCCTCCCCAAGGGCCCAGCCAGGCTCCTCCAGCCTGCCGGCTGCCTCCCTGTCTTTTGCTTTGCCTAGCAAAGCCCCGTGAAAACCCTCCTTCCCGCTTCTGTGGTTCTGGCTTCCTTGCCAGGGCAAGACATGCAGGGAAAGCCTCCTTGAGGCCAGGGGGCCAAGGCGCTGGAGTCACTTGCAGAACGCCAGGTTCTTTTGTGTGTGGTGCCATCCGCCTGCTGTCCTGGTTCCATTTTCAGGATTCACCTCAGAACGGAAGTGTTGGCTTGCTTGCTTGCCTGCTTTTCCAAGTGCCTTTTAGGACAGCAAAGACAACCCCCCCCCAACCCAGAACATGGCCCGGCCGGGGGCTTGGTGGGGGCACTCACTGGGGGCAGCGATGACAGCTGGTTCCTGTCCAGCCACAGCTCCCGCAGATTCGGCAGTGCGCCCAGTGTGTCCGGCTGCGGATGAGACAGAGCAAGCGGTCACTCAGGAGGGCGGCTGCTCAGGACGCCCTGCTGCGCCCGGCAAAGAGGGCCCCTCCCTGAGTTGAGGGAGGGGAGTGTCTGGTGGGAGGAGGCAGCCAGCTCACAAAAAGAAAATGAGATGAGGAGGGAACAGCAGGATGCTTCTACAGGGAAACTCCCATCCCAAGGGCCATGTTCCCGCCTGGGCAACCTTCTGGGGGCCACGTGCCACTAGTGGGTGGGGCCTCCCATACCAGAGGCCACAGCAATGCCAGATCCATCTCTCTCCAGCCAAGCAAGCAAGGAGCCAAGGAAGAGCACATGGAGGGGCATGGCCTGGAAGAGCCCAGAGGACCAGGCAAGAGCAGCCTGGAGGGTAGCATTCAGCCCCCCAGTGGGAGGCTCCAGGAAGGAAGGAGGGGAGACCCAAGTTCCCACACCCCACGGCACTCACCAGCACCTCCAGGTCGTTGCCCCCAAGGTCCAGTGCTCTAATTTGACCAGGAAGGAGAGGGAACTGCAAGGCAGAGAAGGCGCTCAGTCAGGGGGGCTGGGAGTCCTGGGCACCAAGAGGGAGGGCGGCAAAGAATCTACGCGCCCCCCCAAAAAAACTCCAAGAAGGTGCTGAAAGCTGGAGTGCCGAGCGATCCTCAGGCTGCCCGCTTCCAGAAGTGCTGGTCCTCCACTTAAGAGGGTCACCCACCCCCACTGCCCAGCAGAGGCAGGCAAGAAGGCAGACACCCCCCAAGACAAACTGGGGGCCAAGCTTGCACACACTCACGCAGGGAGAGACTTGAGCAGGTTCTCGCGCAGCTCCAAGGTCACCAGGTTGGCTAAACTGCAAGAGAAAGAGGGAGGTTGGCAAAGCAGGCGGGAAGAGGCGGCCCCTCCTCTCCCCCCCCCCCAGCCAAGAACTCACTTGCCAATGTCACTGGGCAGGCTTTGCAGGGAGACATCGTTCAAGGCCAAGTGGCACAGGCTGCGCAGCTGGGTGAAGCCCTCCGGGAGCCTGGGCAGAAGCAGAAATGACAGGCCTTGGTCACTGCACCCCATGCAGCTCGTGCTCCTGCGCCACAGTCCATTCCAGCAAGACGCAAGGAGAGGCCTCCACCTGCCTGCTGCTGGTCCTGGGGAGCCGGCTGGCACAGCCTGGCAGGTGGGAGCTCCAGAAGCAAGAGCGCCCCACCTTGACAGGGGAAAGGGACCAGAAGGACCCTGGGATACTCAGCAACCACAGGATAGAGATCAGCCTTTGGGGCCAAGTTCCACTGCTGCCTCCGTGTCAGGAGAGCCTCCAGCAAGGGCAGCTATGAAATTCTGCTGGATCAGGCCAAAGGGGCCCATCTAATCCAGCATCCTGTTCTCAGAGTGGCTAACCAGATGCCTCAACCAACAGGCAGGATTCCAGCCCAGAGCCCTCTTGCCAGCAGCTGGCATAAAGGCACATTGTGAGCTCCAACTGGGAGGTGGAGCAGAGCTTCTGTGCCCAGCAGCCACTGAGAGAGAGCCCTTTCCTCCTCCATGAATTTGTTCAATCCAAACCGGTGGCCTCCTGAGTGAGGGAGTTCCACAGTTTAACTCTGTGCTCTGTGAAGAAGCCCCTTTCCTTTCCTTTATCTGCCCAACATTCTGCTTCACTGGACGCCCACAAGTCCCAGTATTACAAGAGAGGGAGGAAAACTTTAATCTCTCAATTTTCTCCATTCATTCCAAGCTTAACGCTATATATTTTTTCCCATATTTTAAAAAATGTAATTGCGTGTTTAACACAGAAAAAAGCCCACCCATCCCCCAATCATACAACTTTCATACCAACCACGACATACAACTAAATGCCGAGTGACTTCCCTTCCACTCTTTTCCTGGTTTCTTTACTTTTCTACTAAATCGCATATTCCAAATTTTAATCACCACATTTCTTCCTCTGTTAATTTCTATTCTGCTGGATTTACTCAAGACCTGCTATGTTATTTCCCTGTTTATACCGGCTCTTAAAATATTCAATGAACATTTTTCAATCCTCCTTATATTCTTCACCATCCTTTTCTCTTATCCTACTCATTATACCTGCCAATTCTAAATAGTCAAGCTTTTAACTGCCACTCTTCCTTAGTGGGTACTGTACTCGTTCTCCACCTTTGGACCAGTGAATTTTTTAGCCACAGTGGTGGCATAGAATAATAAATTATTTTGTTTTTTAGGGACTTCTGTTGTGACAGAAGTCCAAGCGTAATTTTATAAACTTCTATCATGTCACCTCTGACTTGCCTTTTCTCTAAACTCAAAGGTCCCAAGTGCTGCAACCTTTCGCCTTTCCTTTCAGCGGAGAGGATTCTTGAACCACGAAGCCCTCTCCGCAAAAGACAGGACTGGCCCCCCATCCTCCTTTTGATCCAGTTGTCTGCCTGCCTTCAAGGAGCACTTTCTGAATCCCCCCAAGACCCAGCCAGACCAACAGAGCCTTGGACCGGGAAGGGCACCAGAGCCCCCACCCCACCTTCCCACTCCCACCATACCTAGACAAGGGGTTTCCACTGAAGTCCGCGATCTCCAGGGATTTGCAGAATTTGATGCTTTCAGGAATTTCTGGAATGTCTGCAGCAAGCGGGGCACAGAAGGGGCACAGAAATGAGGCTTCACCCACAAAGGTGCCACTCCTCAAGGGATTCAGAGCAGCAAAGCCATTCCCTCCCCACTGACAGGTCTTCGAAGAGCCTCCCCGAGAAGACCTGGGTTCAAATCCCCACTCAACTCAATGAGTTACTCCAAGGGCGTGTGCTGTGAGGATCCAGATGGGCCAGCCTTCCACTCCGCGAGGGGCACAGGACCCGCTTTGCCTGCAGAAGGGCCCCCTCCCCCCTCCCCAGCATCTACCCACCATTGCGGGAGATGTCCAGCTCCACAAGCTGCATGAAGTTGGCCACCTCGGGGGGAAGGCGCTGAATCTCATTGTCGCTCAGGCCAAGCTTGCGCAGGTTCAGGAGTCGGAAGAAAGGCTGCGGGGGGAGAAAAAGGAGAGAAGTTAGCCACTCGTGCAGAGGCCACCGCTCTGCCAGAAAGGGCAAGCCCATCTCAGTGCCTGCCTCTGGGGCAAGCCTGGCAGACAACCTTCCCTCCAGACCAGATCTGGGGTCGTGGACACAGGACATTGGGGAAGGCACAGGTGTGCCTTGGCTACGGGGAGTAAGGATGGCAGCAGCCCAATAGAGAACCGCCTCCCCCCCCCCCCCCGCCGGCCAAGTGGCTTCTCAGGGTGAACCTGAAGGGAAGGGAAGGAGGCAGCAGGAGGAGGAGCCTGAGGAAGAGGAGGTCTCTGCATCATTTCCCATGAGAGGGACACCAGGCAGGCAGCTCCCAGGGGAAACTCTCCTCTTGGGCAGCCCTGGATGGAAAGAGCCCCCGCAACCCTTGGGGAAAGACGTGGGTGTGCCAAACACAATTTCAAGGCCTGTCCCAAAGAGCATCACCTCACTTTCCCCCAGCTGGAAACAGTGCACACCTCTTTCTTTTCTTTTTTACAATTTAGTCCTAAAAGAATTCTGATGCACCATTTTTAAAAACCTGCCAGGAAACACCGAGACTCATCTGAGGATCAAAGGCAGCTGCTGCAGCTGCAGCCACCACTTGCCAATAAAACCAGCCAAAGCTCAATGGGTTAGAAGCACCTTTGCCTGGGGCTGAAATCCCAGTTGGGGGGGGGCAGCTCTGCCCAGGCATGGCAGGGGGGGGGCACACACAGAGCAGGGCTTCCAGGAAGCACATTAACGCGCAGGTGGGATTGATCACATAGCGGGAGGAAGCCGTCTGCCACAGAAGGGCGCTCAAGGTCCAAACAGACCATTTTGAACTGGGCCACCCAGGAGAACAGCTGGAAGGATGGTAGTAAAGAAGCCGTAAAGTCAGGGCCTCATGTGGCCCCTGCAGCCCAGCCCAGTTTAACATTACTGATAATAATAAAAGTTTGAACAAAGCTCACATAATGCTTGATTGTAAGGAAACTTCTAAGCATTTTACTAAAATATAAAATAAAACATCAAGATTGTGGATTAGAAATAGTATAAAATATTGAAAAGATGATTAAAATCAACGGTACCTAAAATGAAATAAAGCCAGAGAGATGTCTTGCTGAAAACAGAGGGAGGACAAGAAAGCCCCGAGCAGCAGAGGGAAGAACCCCAACCGCTCTTGGTTCTAGGAGGATCAGGAGGTTGGAGTCACGCTGGGGAAACTGAGCAACAGAAGCCAAATCCCCCCACAAGATGCAGAAGCCGCACACTCCAGACCACAATGTCCCTGTTTCCATGAAAGTGCAAACCAGGTTGTCCGTGGGATATTTGAACCCATAAAGTGTGGTTTGCGAGATCCCTCCAAACTAGGATTGATCCAGTTAAGGCATCCTGGCAAACTGTAACTGGAGGAAACCAGAAAGTCTCTTATTAAGGAGAGAAGGAGCACCTGAGCCATTTCTGATCCTCCAAATCACATCCTGCCAGGTCTGAGCGTCAGTTCACTGGGAGCAGACATTAACAGCCTCGCTGAACAAGAATGTGGTGATTTTCATCAAAAAGAGTATTTTAGTGTGAAGTGGAGGATTAAGTTGCTTTTATTTGTGTTTTAAACTGTTACTCAGTAGGAATCTTTACTGGCTCATTTTCAGCCTTGCATTTAAGCACTAGCCTGGGAACCACAGCAGGCCAGGAATTGCATGCAAGGACCAGGAGGGGGACAGGCCATAAAAATGCCACCAAAAAGGGGGCCAGACTCAGCCCCCTGGCACTGCTTGGGGGCCAAGGAAAGGGAGAAAAATAACTCAGAAGGGGCGCAGGACAGGCATGGGCGGTTAGACCTGCCCTATCTGCCCTCAGTAGGGTGGTGCTGTCGCCTAAACCACTCGTCATCATCCTTCATGCGCCAGTAGCGGTGTAGTCATGCTGGCCACATGACCCAGAAAGCTGTCTGTGGACAAACGCCAGCTCTCTCAGCCTGAAAAGCGAGATGAGCGCAGCAACCCACGGTCATCTTTGACTGGACTTTACCTTTACCTTTACTTTTTACCTGCACTAGCATGCTGCAGGCTAAGGCTGGCCCTATCTCCCTGCCCTTCTCAGGCCAGTAACATGTGTGGGCTTATTTGCAAGCCTGCTTTATGAAGAGAGATGTGGCTTTGGATACCGCCAGTGGACACTGCAGAGGCAGGAGCGGAAATGGAAGAGGTAAGGCCGATTACCTTTTCCACCAGAGAGGGAGGGGGGTAAAGTTGTCTTACTGCCCCGAAAGGATGAAGCTAAGTATCAGCCAGAACTGCAGTCAAGTCTGCAGAGGAGACCAAACCACTGGGGGTGATGGAGAGGCCACCAGGCTGGCCAGGAAACCAACCCCTTTGAGAGGGTCTCTCTGACACAGGCAAAGGAGCCACAATTCTGCCCTTATGCTTTCCGGCCGTACTGGCTCCCAAATAAACTGGCAATTTAAAAGTCATAATAAAAGTAAATAAAATAAAATAAATAAATAACAAACATCCCAAAACAAGTACAGTACATCACCAGATTTCAGAACTGTCACCTCCAGCCTTTAAAAAACATTCTAACAGGGCAGGCCTTCCTTGGCCCAAGTAACCTGGATGGTCAGCCTGGACAACTCAGCTGGTTACAACGTGGTGCTGATAATGCCAGGGTTGCAGGTTCAATCCCCATATGGGACAGTTGAATATTCCTGCATTAAAGGGGGTTGGATTAGATGATCCTCAGGACCCCTTCCAACGCTACAATTCTGTAATTCTAACCTTCTTTGAAAAGAAGTCCCACAGCAAGGGCACCCGAAGAGAACCTGCCCACCAGCTGCAGGAGAAACTGCCCTGCAGCCTCACTAGGTGCCCTCCTTGTGGCAGCACACATGGGGGGGGGGTTGCTCCTATAAAGTACCTGGGCCCAGGCAGTTTGCAGCCTTGGAAGGCCGAATGCAGCCGGGGACTGAGCCGGGGACCAGCAGCTCCTTGCATCCCCTCAAGCCAGTGACTGAGAGCAGGTAGGCTGCTGCACTCTGACCTGCCTGCAGTCCCCAAACACTCCTCAAAGGCAGCCCCACCTAGAGCCCCTTCAAGTAAGGCACCAGGCAGCTCTGCGGCTGCGGAAAGGGCAGTGGAGAAAGGGGTCTCTTGTCATGGAAGGCATCCCAACATCCGGATGCGGAGCCTGACAAAACGTGTGCATCCAAGCTGTCAATGAACATCTTGTCAGGGGGAGCCAGAGCATCCCCCCCCCCTCAGCATTTTCCAGGAGGAGCTTCAGTCTCTGGGCCTGCAGACTCCCCGGCCGTCACACAGCAGGGTGGAGTGGCACATCCCGGGGCAATTCTTGTTGGGGCGGAGCGACTGTCCCCAGAGACACCTTCTGGAACCTGCTGGGCAGGTAGGAGTGGAACCACTGCAAATCCAGGCTCAGCCACAGAAAGAGCCAGAATATCAGTTACAAAAGTGGCTCTCCCTTTCTCTCGTGATACTAGAACAGGGGTCAGCAAAATTTTTCAGCAGGGGGCTGGTCCATTGTCCCTCAGACCTTGTGGGGGGCCAGACTATATGGGGGGGATGAACGAATTCCTATGCCCCACCAATAACCTAGAGATGCATTTTAAATAAAAGCACACATTCTACTCATGTAAAAACACCTGGCAGGCCCCACAAATAACCCAGAGATGCATTTTAAATAAAAGGACACATTCTACCGGACCATCCGCAGGCCGGATTTAGAAGGCAATTGGGCCAGATCTTAGCTTGCCTACCCATGTACTAGAACTCTAAGGGGTCATCCAAGGAAGCACCTGGCTGGTCACTGCGAGAAAAACCTGCGGTCTGATCCACAACCCGTCTATCTTTATTGCTAGCCAAGCAGTATGCAAATAAATAGACACCATGATGCAAGGAAGTGACTTCTACCAAAAAAGTTGCCTGAAGACAGATTAATGTGGATCCAGATATTCTGCCTCATGCCAGGTAGATCTGAGCAGGCTGTGTAAAGTCAGCTGCTCACCTTCCCTGTGACCATGTCTGAAGTTACCCCGCCCAATGCACCCAGCTGCTTCCAAGTGGGCTGCCTGGCACTTGCAAAGGACGCGTTCAAGATCAACCCAAGCGCAAGGAGACTCCAGACAACAGCGACCACCTTGCTGCCCTTCCTCCTTCAGCTGGGCTGCTCTGGAATGGTCCTGCCTCTGCCCTGTCCGTCCCCTCTGCCCCTTGGAGCCCCTCTCCTCTCTGCCTGTCCTGCTTGCCCAGGGGCAGACCAGAGCCCAGGGCTCACTCCAGGGCTGCTTTCCCTCCTTCCCTCTAGCAAACAGCCTCCTCCTACAGCCGGCTCCCTGGTGGCAGACTCCACCCAGCTGTCCCTCACTGAACCAGAATTTCACCTTCTTAAGAAAGGCAAAAGGCAGCCTGCGCTCTGCAACAGGTGGAGAAGGGAACCTGTTTTCTGTCCCACAGACAACAAAAAGCATATCATCTGCCTCCCATTAATAATAATAATAATAATAATTCATCTTTTATACCCCGCAGATCTGGCTGGGTTTCTCCAGCCACTCTGGGTGGCTTCCAACAAAGATTAAAAATACATCAAAATGTCACACATTAAAACTTTCCTGAACAGGACTGCCTTCAGCTGTTTTCTAAATGTCAGGTAGTTCTTTATTTCCTTGACATCTGATGGGAGGTGTTCCACAGGGTGGGAGCCACGACCGAGAAAGCCCTCCGCCTGGTTCCCTCTAACCTCACTTCTCGCAGTGAGGGAATCTCCAAAAGGCCCTCAGAGCTGGACCTCCGTGTCCAGGCTGAACAATCGGGGTGGAGATGCTCTTTCAGAAGACTGGTCTAAAAGGAGAGAATTGGCAGCCCAGAAGATTTGTACCAGTCAAACCTGATTAAGGTGTCCCTGAACATCCAGAGGTCCAAAATCCAGACTGGCACTAGGCACGTTTTGCAACTGGCATGTGTCCAATTGCGACCATG